GATATTGTATTTCCGGATGTTCTCGGTTTCCTTCATCTTCAGATTACCGAGAGAATCTTCGGCCTCGCCTTGGGCGTCGTAAACGCCGAAATTGTCCTGAAGCTCCTTTACAAGGGCTTTGAAGGAGGATGTCCAGGCCGGCAGCGAGTCGAGATCCGGGTCGAGAATATCAGGGACAAACCATTCTTTGGCTGACCCACTGAGATAGGAAAGGGTATAGTTCACCTTCCGTTGGTCGGTGAAATACTTTGGACGGTCATTGAAGACCAGGGCGAGATTGATGAAGAACGTCTTGAGTTTTCGGGGATCCGAACCGTCGAATACCTCTGGCTCCTTGACCTTGCTCTTGGATTCAGAGCTGTCAGAGGGGCGGCCGAGAGCGGCGAGGACGGTACCAAGGGTCTCAATGGAGCCCTTGAACCCCGAGAGGAGTTCCAACATAGCACGTTGCTCGTTGGGGATGTCAGGAGATATGGGAGTACGAGGTCCACCAGGTCCACCAGGACCGCCGGGACCGCCGGGACCACCAGGACCACCAGGTCCACTGGGGTCACCAGGTTCACCATGCGGTAAACCGCCGGAGTCGTTATCCAGATCGTCATGATTGTTGTCGGCGCCCGGATCGTCGGGGTCGACAGGAGGGTCTTGATCATCGTGATCACCGGTGTCCAAATCGAAGTGAGGAGGTGGGTCACGAGGAGATTCAGAAGCAGCACGACGTTGGGGTTGTTTCCCCGTACGGCGGGCGATGGCTTGGAGAATTGGAGAATCAATTCGAGTAGTAGACCGGCCCCGAGCCGGAGCGACCACGGGGGGTTGTCCACGGCGAGGGGTCAGGACTTGAACAGGTTGTCCGTCACCAGTGTACAAGGTGCTGTACTCAAATTGTTGTTCCTCTTCCATGGCTTCAGGAAGAGTCGACGTAGTAGGGACTGTAGCTGGACCGAAACCGCGATTACGGCGACGTGGTTGACCAATTGCAGAGATAGAGTCGGAGAATGGGGCAAATGATTGGGCTGTAGTGAAGAAAGTGTTTTCTTCGGAGTTAGCTCTAGATTGAGCTCGAGTTTTCGGAGGCATAAAAAATGATATGTCAGTACGACGTTAACGGATTGAGTTTAATTATACTGTTAAGATCATGTACACCGTGTAACCGTGCCAGAGCCACAGGGTGTCTAAGTGCGGAAGACAAGTGGGACAGTAGTGAAGTTATTAACAACACCGCCATTACGCCGTTAGTCCCCGGAGATCGAGAGTAGAGAAGGGAGGAACTGAGAAGCAGCCAAGTCGGAGCGGCGGTATCGCCGGTGACGAGGAGCGGGCCAAAGAACTTATAAGTCCAAAGGCTGTAGAGAGAGTACTTCAAGGCGTTGAGCCTGAAGACTTAGAGAGGAGCTAAGTTGAGAAGGGAGATCTAAGTTGATAATTAAACTGAGGAACTACAGTAGCGTACAGGCAGTATTTATATCTACGGAACGGCGCATCGGTGCGGAGCGCCAGACTAACTACTAGGAGCTATACGAGTAGTACCTGCAGGGTAGAGTAAAAGACAATAAGGAGAGACTAGAACGAAAGAGTAAAAGACAATAATGAGAGACTAGAACGAAAGGATATGTGTAGCGAGAAAGAACAATAGGAAGAGATTACAATAAGGAATGGATCTTCGGAATACCGAACGGCGGAATGGAGGCCCGCGGCATGGACTTGACAGGTTGCAGAGTCAGTGGTTAACTGGTTGTTGTAGACGGATTCAGACGTACTCGTGTTGATGGTGTCGGTTTGTGCGGCCAATACATATGTTGCCATTGGTGTAGATATTTTGGTACTATCCACATTTGCTGCATGGGCGCCTGCTTCGGTCTTAGGCTTCTGAGCTTGCCCCTGTTTTGGCCACTGGCCCTCTATTCCACCTCCCTTGGCCCAGCACTTCTTCGCAATGTGCCCCGGCTTGTTGCAGTTATGGCAGGTGATTGTCGGCCTGCCATTGCTTCTGTTGCTTGTATTGGCGCGCGACTGTGCCGTCATCAGGGCCTTCACCCTTTTATTGTCTCGTTCGTCCTCCCGTCTCTCCTCCTCCTTTTCATACCACAGCGTGTGGAGGTAGGTGAATGCATCTGTGCTCATGCTTCCTGGTACACTGCACACATCTGATCTCCAGTTGGGTGGCATGGAGGATATGACGATGTGTCTGAATTGTGCATCTGTCGCCGTTCCTCCCAGGTCGTGGACCCTCTTGATGAGGTTCCGCATCCTCTTCTCGTGATCCTCCATGGTAGACTTGGCGGGGTCGAACTTTTCCTGGCGCAAACTTGTATCCGCTAGGTGGATCCTTTGCTCATCTTGCTTCTCAAGGTGTTTGACCAGGGCAGTCCAAATCTCTGATGCTCGTTTGGTTTCGTCTATCCCCAGGCCGGCGGGGTCAGTTATGTTCGACACAATTGTCCCTGCGACTAGTCTGTCGCGCACTTCCCATTCCTCCAGGTAAGGTGCAGGGCTAAATAGTAGTGTAGTGGTCTGGGTTGGCAGGTATAGCGGACCCGGGTAGCTGTTGGGCTTCGGAATCGTCCCGTCAATGTATCCGGTCAGTCCCCTCGACTGCACCGCGAATAGTATCTCTCTTTTAGATGGTCTCCAATTTTCCTCCCCTGCGAGTTGCTTCTCATCCGGGAGTCTCGGTATGTTTAGGCTGTTCCCAAACGACATTTCAGCTGTTTTAATTCTGATAACCTTTTTAGGGCACCAGTCTCATAATCTGTTGGTGTAAACAATCTCAGTTGATATGAAAGCAACTCAGTATTTGTAGGTACCTGTTGGTGTAAACAATCTACGGTACCATTAGTCTACTGCGCTGTGCTCGGTCTAAACTATTGTACTCACCTCAGTTGATATGAAAGCAACTGAGGTGTTTGTGTCCGTCTCCTGTCGTGACCTTCACCTACTGTAACAGTATTTCTAATAATGCCGTTATAGCTCTTACACATACACATACGTATGGAATACTCCCCAACACTAATTACCTTTACTTTTTTTTGTGAAGGAGAGCTGATGAGCTCTACTTTTCCAGCCATATCTGTTGTCCAGACTTTTTGACCATTGCATTAACCTATTCTTACACACAAACTTACTACAACCATTATGATGCAACAACCAATGAACACAGTTTACACAATACATTCCATTACTATATGATACTTGGCATTACTTGTACTAAGTGCATAGTTTCCCCTGCTCTTGGCTCTCAAATGGTGGTTAAATCAACACACACACTCTCTCTACTTTTCCGGCATGTGTGTATCTCTAGCTCCGGAGTCCAGAGAATGATGACTACCATACTGCTCCATAACATAGCTTTCAAGTGATGGGTGAAACACTGTAAAACAGGAAATGGACCTACCCAGAAAATCTAAGTCTTATATCCATAATTGAGAAAGCCTATAGCTTTATGGTGTGTGAAATCACAAAATTCACCATTTTTGATGAATCTCAACATTCTTGAAAAAACTCAAAAGTCAAGAACAACAGCACTTGAGGACTTTGTATTGTATACTATGGTAAGAGATGTGCATAGATGCCTGTAGAGCAAAATACTCATCATTTCAGCACAGTTTTGTGGCTTGTCCATTATCTGCTAAACCTGGATATTCGGCTAAGCACCGAGAGCAGATCCCAGCAGATCCCAGTGCTGAAAGCACTGAAAGCAGTATGCTTTGAGTGCTCTCACTGCTGGGAAGTGCTCTCAACTGCTTTCGGACCCTTAGCCGAATATCCAGGTTTTGCAGATGATGGTATGCATCTTGTTTCTTGTTGAAGCCTGAGTTGTTCCACTCTCAGAATGGATGGATCACCCAGCTTATTCATAATAAAACATTGCTCATTTGAACATGATTTACAGCTGGGGATGATGAGAAAAAGTGCAGTCAATGTACAAAAATATGAACCGAGGACCATTAAGGACTTGGCGCTTAGTTTAGACACTATTCATCTGCAAAACCTGTTTTTTCGGCTAATTCTCCGAGAGCAGCTGAGAGTGCTTCCCAGCAGCCAAAGCACCCAGAGCAGGGTTGAAATTCTGCTCTCGGTGCTTTGGGTGCTGGAGAGCGCTCTCCAGCCAGTACCCTTGCTCTGGCGAACATACAGGTTTTGCAGATGTTGCTAAAATGTCATCTCATCTCTGAATTCTTCACTATAAAATCTCAGAAAATCTGGTATTGTCTTTAAGCAGTAGGTTAACAGTGCCCGTGTTTTAATTTTTGCATAACTCAAATGAAAACTACTCGGAAGACCAATTTGTTGGACCTTGAGATTTTTGGCGGGGTCACAGCTGTGACCAGCACGTGATATGCATCGAAACTGAACTGGGAGTATCTTTACTGTGAATGTCCTCGGCTTTGATACACAGCGCTCAGCGCTTAAATTAGGCGCCAGGAAACGTCTAGCGGACGTCGAACGGCCATCATCGAATCCTTGACGATACCCAGGGGGCACCACAGGATAAAAGCGCTGAGATCGCAATACCCGTTGGGGGTTGTTTGGCAACAGCTTTAGTAGCCATGTTGCCGTTTTGCCAATCAGCGCCGTGTCTCGCATAGGCACCTTTTCCAACAACAATTGACTGACTACAAACGTCACAGTCTACAGTGTACTTTCCATCCTTGAGATAAACATCATATGCAATGATGCGATCGCCAGTAATAAGTCTTGCTGTCGTCGGAGGGGAAGCATTCTTATTTTTAGAGATTGTTGGCATTGATAATATAGAGATGATCCAGAGAAATAATATCAGGCAAGCGTAGTTGAAGAAGATAATTTTCCGCTGCGTTGCAGCATGTACTGCCCTGTACTGCCTCGTATACACGGAAGAGGGGAGATATCTTTCCAATAGCTCTACACACTAAAGCACAATCCGATAACTGTGAATCAAGCGCACGGCACTAATCGGCAACACGGCAATACGGCGACTAAAGCTGTTGCCAAACAACCCCCAACGGGTATTGCGATCTCAGCGCTTTTATCCTGTGGTGCCCCCTGACGATACCCAACATTACCTCTCGTATATCATGAAGTTCAGGTAGTATATGGTTGCTTGCACGATGTGCTGAAGCTCAATCCTTTTCTTCCTAGTTCCGCTTTGAAGTTCAACGCAGTCTCGGAGTGGTGGGAAGAATATATTGAGTGAGTGCAGCTTGTTCTCAACTAGATGTGAATTCCTTCCGAACTATTTTACAGCTATGACTATCTCAAAAAGTATATCTATCAGCTAGAGAAGCAGCAACAGAGTTTGACATCGTCCTATCGAGACTTGGAATCTAATGAACGAACATCTCTAGTCGGTCGTCCTTCCGACGTAGCCACGGACTCGATATTTATTCCTCTGCTGGACAAGGAACTGAAGAAGGTTGCCTTATTCTATGAGAATCAGGAAAAAGAGCTGTTTGACGAGCTAGCTGAGCTAGAGGCTTTAGTTCAGAATCAAGACGAGCTTGGATTAGATGGGGACCATTATGCCGATGATGACGAGTATGACGAGGAAGACGACGAAAGCCTGTCAAGGAGTCCAGAGAGACACAGGCGACGACGTTTGTCTAGTAGCGTCAATGTCAATCGAGGCACCTCGGGTCCCGGTGAGTAGTGCATTGTAGATCGAATTGTATAATGTTCACTGCACCACAGGTGAAAGCTCCCATGTACGCCAATCCCCAGTGCGTCAGAGACACAGCATCTCCTCCAGTGAAGGTGAAATGGAGGATAGTCTGGCTTCGCTTAGGCGTTCTATCTCTCCTAATAGAACTATGCAAAAGCTTGCGAACACGTTTAGCCTCATGAAGGATAGTGTAACCTCTTCGGGGCTTTCGGAAACCATCTGGACTGCCCGTACAAATTATGCGTACGATACCCGACTCCTCTTCAAACGGCGAATAACGAACCTCTATGTTTCGTTCTCCTCATTGCGGTCGTACGTTGAAGTCAATTACTCCGGCTTTCGCAAAGTGCTCAAAAAGTATGTAAGTTCTACGCTTGATATTTCGGACTCGGAGGATTTAATAAGTACCTTGATCGCAGGTATGATAAAGTCACTTATAGCGAGGTACATATAACATCTATGGCCAAGGGATTCCTTTATCTCACTTGGTCTAACAGCTTAAGGACCATTATCTCCACGACGTCGTGGAACAGACCGTGCCATTTTTGCCTGATTCGAAAGATCGGCTCAATGGGGCCATTGGCCGATTAGTAGACCTCTATACCAAGTGTGTCGCTAGGGGAAACCGGAATCTCGCCAAACAGCAGTTAAAACTCTTTCAACGCGAAAACATCGCTTGGGAGCGGGACACAATATGGCGGCAAATGATTGGTCGCGAAAGACGGGGCGAAGGTGCCGCCTCTAATCTTCTTGGCGCCACTTTGGTTAAAGAACCTCAACCGGGGCTTTTCGCTATTCCAACGCCATTTGGGCGACTCTCTATCACGCGCAAATTTTTGTATTTGGTCATAGCTCTCGTCGTTTTTGCGGTGTTATTGAATGTCGAAGTTGTCCAGGGTAATGAAGCCAATCGCTGTTTTGCGGTGCTGGTATTCTGCACAGTGCTCTGGGCTACCGAGGTAATTGAGACTTATCTTCTGCGAACTTCTCAAATTTGACTATCCGTAGGCTATACCTCTCTTCGTCACATCCATCCTCGTACCTTTACTGCTTGTATGCTTCCAAGTGGTACGCGGTCCGAAACCGGACTATGAACACTTAGGTGCCCCGGATGCTACCAAGTATGTTTACAAATTAGCCTATTTCAAATGTTGATATCTTCCTATTTAGATTCATCTTTTCGGCGATGTTTTCCCCAACGATCATGCTTCTCATTGGAGGGTTTACAATATCATCTGCGTTAAGCAAGACCAGTATAGACCGCATCCTCATCACTCGCGTTCTCAGCCTTGCAGGCACGAGGCCATCCGTTGTCTTATTGGCCTTTATGTGTGTGTCATGCTTTGCCAGCATGTGGATCAGTAACGTTGCGGCTCCGACACTTTGCTTCACCTTGATCAAAGTACGTACGTCCGTTCTGACCCCATCTGCAGGCCTCTTTAGCTCACAATTTCAATTGTCCAGCCTATCTTGCGAACACTGCCTCCCAAGACGTCTTTTGCTCCTGCATTAATCGTGAGTGGCGCCTTCTTCATGAGAAAACCTAGAAATCAATCAGAGACTTTCACCTAGCTTGGTATCGCTCTAGCCGCAAATATTGGAGGTCAAAGCTCGCCAATCTCGTCCCCGCAGAATTTGATTGCGCTTCAAAACATGGATGAACCTTTAGACTGGGGCAGCTGGTTTGCTGTAGCCCTTCCCGTTTCTGCCATTTCAATATTGTTGATATGGGGCCTTCTATTGGCGTCGTATCGACCTGCTCGATCTCCTGATGGTGAAAGTGAGATTGAGATTCGGCCGATCCGCGCGACGAAGGAGCCGTTCACTCGCCAGCAGTACTGGGTGTCTTTCGTCTGCCTTGCAACCATCGTCCTGTGGTGCATTGCCCATTCGATCGAGGACTACGTAGGTGATATGGGGGTCATTGCAATTATTCCCATTATAGCCTTCTTCTCCACAGGAATATTGAAAAAAGTTGGGATTTTTGGAAAATTATGTTTGGGGTCGGCTGACTATCCTTTTTTCTTACGCTACATAGGACGACTTTGAACAATTCACATGGACAATTGTTTTTCTTGCCATGGGCGGCATCGCTTTAGGCAAAGGCGTTACTTCTAGCGGTTTACTTGATATCATGGGAGAGCTTGTTAGAGATCTCGTTGACGGCTTCAGCCTTTACAACGTTGTGCTCATACTATCCCCGATTGTTCTGGTGGGATTCCACAATCTTTCCGTGATAGCACCACCCCACTTACTCATTGCAAACAGGTTATTTCGACTTTTATAAGCCACACGATTGCAAGTGTACTTCTTGTACCTATCGCAAAAGAAGTCGCAGCGAGCCTCGGCGGTGATCACCAAAATTTGTTGATTTTTGTGACTGCGTTGATATGTTCCGCTGGCATGGGTATGCCAGTGTCTGGGTTTCCCAACCAGACTGCGTACGCTTCCTTCGCTGTGCTGTGAGATAAAACTTACTGGCCATTTTCAATTGAACTATCTAGGGCCACGCAAGAAGATGATCTTGGTGAATTATATTTGTCTAATATAGATTTTCTCAAAAACGGGATTCCAGCGAGTATTTTCGCAACTCTTGTGAGTTGTTGTTGTCATGCGTAGGAAAAAATAGTTGATTTCGTGCCTTTGTAGGTCGTCGCTACCGTGGGCTATCTACTTATGATTGCCATAGGGTGAGTCTACCTCGTTGAGCAATACAGGTCGTACTGAACTCCTGACCCAATCGATAGTCTGTAATGTCGTTCCTGGATAGGAGGAAAAACTCTGCCTTTCCAGATATAGATCTACATATTAGTTGAATATTTGCGCAGGATAGGATAGGATATCATGTTATTTCAGATAGGCTATCATGTTACGGTACATTTGAGAATCCATTTTTTTTGATGGTACAACAAGGTGAAGACCTCGAACCCAACAAGGCGAAGATCTCGAACCCTGCGATCAAATTATTACAGGAAAACGATTGCGATACAGTGGGGGGTTAGGTATACTGGTTTAGTCTGAATGACTTTGCTGTCGCGAATAGAGATACTACTGATAGTAGGGTTTCAAACATTAAAATGGCCAATGATAAAGTACCGAATAAAGATACAATACAGCAGAGAGATGTTCATGGATAGATGATTTGAAAACGAAAAAAAATAGTGATTACCAAGGACGGTAGGGTTGTTCTTTTCGGTCAGGGTCGAGTCTGAAATCGATCTGATCAATAGGTCGAGACCTAGGTGTGGCAGAAATGGATAGTGCCTCTTGGCAGCCTTGATCCCGCTCTCTCAATACAGGTAACTGTCCGACAAAAGAATTTACGGAAGGTAGTGACTGTGGTGTAAGCGGAGTCGAAGGGGATGGCGGAGAAATGGGAGACGGATGTGAAGAAAAACTGTCTTCTGAAGACGACGAAACGCTTAGACGCTGTCTTGATAAAACACCACCTGAGTATTTTATTGCAGGGTCGGATAGCCTATGCGTGAGAGAAGGTAAGAGCGCCAGAGAGGAAGGCCAGGACGACGATGGCGACGACGACGATCTGAGCCCCAAGCATTAGATACGATTGAACAAAGGTACAAATAACGTTCTCACTTGTTATTTGTCGATCGTGAGGGCCAGATGTCAGCCTCGTCGTTCTGCGATAAACGGCGAAGCACGGCGGCAGAGTCATTGACATCGACACCTCGCAGATCCTCCAATGCAGATATTGGAGGCAAAGCATAGGCAGAACTGGGGCCATAACGATTTGATGCAGCAGGACTTATTGGAGGGAGACTGATATTATGTGAGTTATGCTTCGTGAAATCAGTAGAAGGTATATGGAGAGCTATAGGATTTTCTCGAGCAGGCAGCCTGAAAGTTGGAGGGGGTGAGGGATCCGGATAGGGAGCGTACCGACTGTACGCTCTATCCCGTTGCGTTGATGGTGGCAAAGATAACGAATGGCGATCGGACGTCGGCAAAATTTCCTGCTGGAAATCTTCGGAATGAGCATTGAATGGAATATACTGCGGCGGATAGGAGGTATAGGCTGAAGGGGGCAAGGCGCCTGGATGAGGTTCGAACGAGGCATCAGTCGTGTGAGGCGTAACCACCGACCACGCTGAATTAGTAGTTGTCGAAACGTTCGGCAAACTTGATTTGCGAGGTGCACGCCTTCGACCCGGCGCAGAAGCGACAACCTGACCATAGCCGGGTTGAGTGGGAGAAAGACAAGTGCTGGGGAAATTGGGACTAGATGGACTATTAACTAGCAGAAAATTCGACGCAGAAACTATAATCACCCAAACAATGGTATCAGATCTTCTCGGATAGGCCAGGCGACTCTATGTTTTTACATGAGGGGAGAGACTTTAGAAAGCAAAAAGATGGCACTACCTTCTAGCTAACCGTAAAGCGACCTATAGATGAGATGAGCGGACATAATTTATTTGAAAGTAGTCATCAAGCCTACCTCATAAGGCATCCAAGTACCCTGAATCTTGAGGTAGCCACCCCTCACTCTTCGTATCAAAGGAGCAAGGTCTGGCTGAGAGTCGATCATTTTCACGATGTCGGCTTAATGAATGGCATGTGAGGACTCGGGAAAATAATATTCAAGTACGTTTCACAGTACCTTTAGAGTTTCCCAGAGCTGCAAAACCATCGTTAATGCACACGAAATACAATAGTTATGTAGCAAGACTAATTCACCTTTCCATATACCGGTCCATAAGATGTATCCATCATCAATGTCCATCATGATCCACTGCCCGTTCAAGGGATATTCATACACTGGTCTAAAGTGAGGGTTAATTTTTTTGAAGGCTCATCCACGACATTACTCACATATATCCTCTTGGGTCGTTGCTCGTGATGTACCTCCCTTTAGTAACATGATGATTTGGACTTGCGTATGGACGAAATTTGGGTCCAATGCCAGACGGTACACCTGATGAGTTTTCCTAGATGCAATATTTGTTCGAAGGCGGACCAATGGCGGACGATTCAGAACGGACGCACCTGCAACATCCTAATGGCCAGAAGAATATGAATCCAGGTACCGAGCTGTCGAGAAGGACGAAAATAAAGAGTTCGATGTGAGTTCTGTGTAGGGCCTGTGATCGAGAGCGGAGAAAGGGGAGTGGGTTATTAGAACAGACAGTTCTTAAGCGCTATGCGGTAAATCTGAAATATCAGCATTCGTACATATAATCGAGCAAACCTCCCAACCGGGTCACACCACGCGTAGCAGGTCGCCAGGAAACCTGTTTTAGGAAAGTTGAGATGTTCGCAAAAGATTGCAAGAGGGACGGCCTCGGCCCCGGCTAACACGATTACCTGAAACAGAAGTGTATCCTCGAGATCTCATCTTGAATGCTCCTTTGATCGTGAATTCCGAGAGATTCCAAGTGAATTCCGTTTCCATTCTTGCGAGCTGTCGGAATCAGCCGCCCATCCTCCTTCTTTAGGCTTTAGGAACACCATTGCCCCGCCCTTGCAGGTATGTGACGAGATGTGACGTTAGTTATGTTATTAGCACAACAACCCTGCATCTTTTGTCCTTTGTGCAAGTGTGCAACGCGTTAATGGAACGACACAACGTCGAGGGTTGGACCGTTGCATACATAGATCCAGTTTAGTTCAGCTGAACATGCTTATCGCTCCGGACGTTCCGGACAATCAATAAACATCTTCACAAATCCTTAGCTCGGATCTTGATTTTTTTGGAGATCAAGACAGGACGAGTTGCTGCGGACGCTAATTTGTAGAGCGCAACCAACTACTCCCACGCACTCCGGGCAAACAAAAAAAAACGGCTCTTCCTTTAAAAAATGCTAAAACTTAGGACATGGAAAACTCGAAGGACAGACTAGAATTTACAATAAATTATAAGTCTAGTTCTATCTAGTTTCATGTGGGAAATGTTGGCATACAACCTCTATGTACGGAATACGTCCTCGATCATGACGTTTTTTGTGTTCCTGGAAGTCTGTTCAGAGCTACATGCTCGAGCGTCACGAGTCGGAAGATATGCCTATATATGCCCTGAGAACGGCGTCCGATAATCGCACTGGTGATTTGAGCCTACCAACCCGTGTTAATCGCAATTTCGGCTCCGAATCTATAGAGCATGCGTTGATAAACCTAGAGATGAATACAGATATGTCAGCCACCGAGGAAAGATACATATCATGTTCATAGCTAGCTCGCTCCGCATCTCGGCGGCAACAGCTATGTACATAGCACCACCTCGAGTCCTTGCTCACTTCATCGTTGCATCACTGACTTGATGCTGTATAAGGAAACTAATTTTTGGGCAAGTCGTTGGAGTAGAGGAGACCACCATTACCGGCTCCGAAGAAGGGACGTGAAAGGAACCACGTCGATAACACGATGCAACTTGATGATTGAACAAGATGCCCCGTATACCATCGTTGATGTAGTCTGACGTGGTCGATATGCATCAAGTGAAGGAGAAACCAAAAACTCACACGTACAGGCAAACAGTTATAATTACCAGCTGTGAAAAGGGGCTTAACCCCTCTTGACCCCTGGCTCTACATAGCTCTATGTACATACATGCGATGATGCCGCCAAGCTCAAGGCCTCAGACACGTATGTAGAACTTACCCCAACCACTATTGATGTTTCTCAAATCGGGAAAATGCTCTTCAATGGCATCCGTCAAAACTGACGCAGATTTGTTCGAATGATGTATCCTCGAACAGGCCTCAAACCCCCACCTACTTACATCCAGGAGATAGAACGAGAACTCGGCATCTGTAGCAGTGCCAAAGACAGATAGCATAACGTCCACTACAAACGTGGAAGCGAGGCCTATGACATTAAGATTGAGTTCCTTATTAGCTTTGGCAAGTAAAGCAGGTACCGTAACAAGCGGAGTACCATATTGTGGCATAGGCTTTTCGTGTCGTCTGCAAGTATAACGGTCCACCAATTTGGCGCGAGCTAAGGATATCAAAGCCACGACCTCGACGCCCAGTCGACGCCTATCTTGCATAAATGGATTTGCTCTGCGTGGATTCGCGAAAATGATTCAATCTTGAAAACTTGAGGGATTTCAGCATGAGAAGGCCTGTCAAAACCGGCGCCCAAGCTAGCGAGAAGACGCAAAACATATGGGTCCATTCGGGGTCCATTAAACATCTGTGAACGAGGGAACAAGACATGTCAGTCAAGGCGAGGCAAGTACCTGATGACTGAATTGACTAATCGTGGTAAGACTAATCTCCGGTAAACAAGATACCCAGTGTTGTGCTGCAAATAGACTTGTTACTTGAGTAAGGCCAACCACGAAGAAGGTCCTTTCGGTGCCAAGCTCGCCGTCGTGAGCCATCAGGGAATCAAAATCCCATTTCGAAATGAACAATGGGATGACTTATGTATGTATGCGTAGGAAGCAAAGAGAGGAACGGAATGTATGAAGATTCGCGGGCCTAATTGTGACGCAACGGGGAAGGGGAGGATGAGGTATCATGAAGCCATTAATGCGTCACATTTTTGAGAACATCGGATGAAAGAATTTCTACCTAAGACTTCGATTTTTTCAAGGTTCAATGATGTGGATGATTGACTGGAGTGAGGAAGGTTGAAACGATGAATCTCCTCCTGAGAGAGACTATAAGACACCGAACAGTGGACTGGGCCGCTATGCTATCGCTTACAATAGACCCTACTTCAGCGATCAGTGACGATTCGGGCACAGAAGGACAGTGAATCACAGAAATTGTAAGAAGATATAGTTTTTTTCGCTCAGCATTTAGGGGGGACGGAGGATAAACACATCGATTGAACAAACGCGGACCTTGACTCTAGAGGTTGAAAAAAAAAACTGGAAACTGATCTTCCAGAGTATTCCAGATATAGACCGAAGATCAAAGGTAATACTCCAACATCGCACAAAGATATATTCCGCGATTAGGAAAAACCTATGAAGGACTGGTAAGATGAGTTGAAAGAAGAGGAATCGTTTCGAAGAAATTTTCGGCACGTTCCGGTTATGACCGGCAATGACTCCGAGTCAGTGCCGTTTTCCGTTTTCTTTGATGATTGTTGCCTGTTGTTATATGCATGCCAGTAAATCATCGACGCAAGAATTACAACACCTAAAGCCCCCTCAAAAACGCTCTCGCCAATTTAGGGACCGGGCTTCTCATACCGGCCCAAACACCTGTCTTATACTCAATTCCAATGTCATATCAAAGTCAAGATCTCGCGTTTTGGTTTCCTCTCTCAAAACCAGAGACCATATTAGGACATGCTCCTCTCATCTTTCGGCCCTAAGCCTCTTCCGCGATGTCCCCTTCAATGAACATGTTTCCTGTTCCTCCCGTTGCGGAGGAACCTGTTTCCTTTCTTGACTTCATTACTAGTACTACTATTAGATTCGAAGTTCCAACCGCGGCCGCCTAACCAATACTGCAAGTGAACCTAATCCAAGCCTATTTTGAGCACCGAAGGCTGTATTTTTCACTCAAGCTCTGACCACCGTGACTTACCAGGACTTGCCTTCATGAGCTAGTCCAGGCTCGGCGAATATGGAACCACTTGTTCATGAAATTGTTTGAAAAAGGTTGGTCCCCCTTACCCAAATAGATTCATACGGGGTAAGTAAACATTTTTTCATCCACTCTCGTGTATATAATAGGAAAGCGGTAAGGAGAACGGAGCTGTTAACTTATGCAGCGTATGTATGTGTACGTCACTCGAGGGTTGGCTTCTCTTTGATATAAGTACCAGGTCCGATCGAGTTGTATGTCGAACGCAATTCATTATACCCCGGTTATACCCTCGAGCTCGTGATTTTGTGCACAAGCTGCTGGAGTCTGTTGAACTTTCCGTTATAAGTTACGGAATTATTGGCATGTCACGGCTTTCTAGCTCCCGAAAATGTCGAGAGCTCGAAAGCCTTGAAAGGAAATGGCGTATAAAATAGGTAAATGCTACACATCTTGATTTACTTTGTCACCTTTATTTCCACCGAGTGTAGGTCTGCTTTGATTCTCCAACTCTTTTTGAACACGAACGTTAGTGACCGCTAAGACTACTCCGTTGCATTAGGTTTCCGAGAGCTTTTGTCACAAGTTTCGGGGTACGCGCGTCTGTAGAAAACAGATAGAAATTTCGAGGCTCCAACACGCTCCAACTTCATCAGAATTTCTTGTTTTTGATAGACACTGTATGCAGATGACCGCGTAGCGAAATTCTTTCCCTGGGGTATGGGAAAATTTCATTTCGTCGTTCAGCGGGCGGGAGGAATGAGGCAAATGAAAGAATTGAGGATTTTACTGGTCAATCAAGTTTCCATCGAGATACCAGCTCTAAGTAGCTATCATCCAATGATCTCCCTGAAACCTCGAAGCTCAATCAACATGCGAAACCGAGAGCTTCGAGGTGATGCTCCACAAGTCCAAAAGTCCATTGTGAACTTCGCATCGAGTGCTTGCTCTACCCCTCAGCCCAACGGCCCGCTACATCGAAAACCGAGAACCCCAAATATCTTCAGGAAATTTCCCAAATATATGCGATGCAACCCAGGGGCCATGTTGTCCAACTTCTCGTGCTTTTTATATACATAGTTAACCAATTCACTAAATAAATCAATCTTAAGTCCGTTGACGCTCAAATGTCGGGTTCGCGTTCCATGGAGAACAGAAGGAAATTCTAGGAAAATGGACTCGTAGGGATAACGACTGTGGGTCGCAGGTTATCCATACAGATACGCAGTCGCACGATGTATAGTACTTTTTGACAGTCTGAGTGATCCCAAAATTCATTAGAAGTGCACGGGTCCACCTAATAGTAACAGACTCATTGACCAGGCGAGTGCTCCGGGGTGACATCGCGGGAATATGGGGTCACAGACGTCCTTGGCCCAATAATCAAAATTCAAGGAAGTAGCTGGAAGTAGGGAGTGAATAAAACAACATCACTGGAACGACAATTGGAAATGGAAAGTAGGAAGACGTGGTCGCTTTCACGCGATTTTCGCAGTCATTGAAGGAGATGCTCGACATGTCACAGCAGATCGTCGCAGCGTTCTGGACGAGGAACATGGCCCTTCTTTACTAGCCTGTAGGCTGATTGCACGTTAGTTATGTGTCGATGAATAGGATAATAAAAACGTACATCTTGTGGATCTCTGACATGACCTCTCATTGGTGAGAGTGGCGGAGGCATTGAGCCCTGCAATGGAATTGAGACATGAGCATTGACAGTCCGCGGCCGCGGAGGTTGAAGTCTAGTAGACCAAGACGGCAAGGCTGCATTGGATTTCAATACATCAGGGCTCGGACTGTGACGACTCGTAGTGCTTTGAGTCCATTCACGATGAGCTTGTGTCGCAGCCTCCGAATTGTAAATGGCAATGTTATTTGAGGACACAGAACGGCCTTCTGTTCTGTCTAAAGATTCATTGCTCCAGGGTAAAAGACCTCCAAGAGGGATATGTTGTACCACGACTCTTTTACCAAGAACTTCAGCCTTCGAAAGGAAATTGTGTCAAAGAGTCCGAATAATCTGAGCTTAATATCTCACCTCATACATTTTAAACAGGCCAGAGTTAACTTTGCCCCAGTTCGGCACGCCCAAAGCGATTGAATGTAACTGGGATGAGTGCTCGTGGAAAGGACCCTGCTTGACCTCGTGAATACGCATGATCGACATGAAGTATAGATTAGTAGGCGGCAGAGGGGGGTGAAGAACTGCTGACACTGGTATCTTTGTCTGGTCTAGAATTTTTAAACGGTGTCAAACTAAATATATTTTTGAACAAGGTGGAAACTTCGGACCTCGCAATTGTCCACTACCAAAGATATAACCCAAAAAATGTGAATCGTCTAGGCCCCAGACGCCATGACTCCCAGCAGGCTCTAAACGGTAAACATCTTGAAGCCTCCAGCAAAGACGGAGATACCGTATGAATACTCTAAGGACCAGTTCACGTTCTTCTTCGACCTCAGGCACGAAAAAGCGCGTAAGTGTCAAGCAAAGAAGGAATATGGCAAAGGAAGTTTCATGGCCAGTACCATAGTCCATTCTGATGAAAGATCCAAACGAAGTCAAGAAGTATGGCTTGATATGTGGAATAAGCGAGCTGTACTCTGGCGGAAGCAGCCGAGATAGTAAGCTATCTGATTGCTACAATACAAGAATATCAAGGATTCTACTCATGGTAAGCTAGAGATGAGCTGACCTCTTCTAGTCTTGTGCCCCAAGTTCGAAAGGCAAGGTTTCCGAACCTTTGTGGGGAGTTGAGGGGTGGGATGTCTTCTATCCAGCTATCCAGAGTATCGATTAAAGTTACCATGCTCAATACAGCCTGTTTGAAGTAACATATAAGTCAGGTTGAGCAACATAGGAGGAGATTTCTTATGTACTTGACTAGGAAATTCAGAGCTCCAGGGAACTGTAACTCCAACAACAGCTTCGTTCAGTCTCCGTAGGAATATGATTAGATCTCGGAATCCTTGAGTTCGCAGCCAAATTTCGACGTCTTCTTCGTTCAATATCTTCTTCGTTGGCAGCTGGATAGAATGTATCTCTGGGAGGGTAACCCTTCGTAACGGATTTGGTGGGATACTTATCATGGTTTGCATGTTGTTGGTGTAGGGAGTCAAAGAGGGGTGACAGGTCCGTGCGGTGACACGTGCTTTTTCGCGCGCGTTGATCATGAGTCACCTCCTCTTCCTCTGTGATCTATTCTACATACTCACGTATTTACTATTAATGGCACCATACGATGACTGGAACCGGGTGGACGAAGACGAGGAAGACGAACTACAGGATGCTGCAGTAAGCTACGATGCTCTGGTCCGCAGGGAACTGTAATATTCATATCTCGCCACAGTTCTTCGACGCCAAGAAGGACGTGATACTGTTTTGCATCGACTGTTCTCCCTCGATGCTTGCTCTTCGACCAGATCATGAAGACGAGACCAAGATGACAAGTCATCTATATGCTGCGCTAAATAGTGCAATGAATCTTCAGAAGCGCAAAGTTGTTACAGGCCCGAATGATTCATTTGGCATCTTGCTGTTCAATACGGTGAATAACGGCACCTTGGATATACCCAAAACGTTACTCATATTGCTATAAAGACTCGAAAACCAGATACACCGCGTACCCAAGGCTCTGAAATAAAAAAGAACATGTTTCTGTATCAACCTATTGGTCCCATCTCTGCGCCGACAATTCAAGAATTGATCCAGCTCCTCAACGGCGAGACCTATCAACGGGAGTTTTCAATCTGATAATCTGACAAAAGTTACAGCTGCACAAGAGGACTCTGATGAGATACAGAAACAATTCCCCCCCTGCGATTCTCGTGTCGCTATGGGGGACGTTTTTACCAGCTGCAATTGGGTGATTCGTGACGGGTGCGCTCCGAAAAGCCTGTCCACACGAAATGCTAACCGCCGTTTCTCAGTGCCCCCAAAACGGCCACAAAACGTGTCTTCTTGATCACTGATGAGGACGACCCTCACCCTCTATCCAAGCAGCTGAAAATCTCTGCACAAACGACTCTCGAGGTGAGATCTATTCCTTTCATCTTTGAATGAAGCATTATCACAAAGTAATGAACGTATTTATTGGCAGGATCTAGCGCAGGCAGGAGTTATTGTAGAGCCATTCTTTATTCAAAGCGAAGACAGGCGTTTCGATGTGACCAAGTTCTATTCTGTGAGCTGCCCAGTGATCTGCAAGTAGCGGAATTGAATGAATTCATTCTCAGTCTGTGTTGCAAACAAATGCCTTTGCTGATGATGTCGACTCAGACCCCTCCATCCTCAACCAATCCATATCCATATCTAGAATAGAAGACCTTCTTTCTCAAATGAAGTTCCGCGAAGTGGCAAAGCGGGCGCTCTTCAACATCCCATTTGAATTAGCTAAAGGGCTTACCATTGGTGTGAAGGGGTGATCCTTGCCACTCGTGATTGTCCGTCAATATTCTGATCATTATCGAAGTTATGGCCTCGTGACGGAACAGAAAAAAGGCGAATACAAATATTTTGTGGACTTGGGAGACCGATTGGAAGCGGCAACGGTCAAAACAGGACAGCTCGATGAGGTCAGTATCTATATTTTTTGCTAATCCCAATGTCTGGGTTTAAAAGTCGATGTCAGGATCGGCAAGTCGAAGTCGATAAATCCAATATCGTTTACGGGATGGCAGTCGTTGGTGCTGCTCCGAGCAATGGTGATGCCGAAGACGATAGTATGGCAGCAACTAAGGTCGTAAAATCTGGCCAACGGGTAAGTATTATCTTTTACCATCCCACTATTTTGTTATATGAACATGCATCTTGTCGCAGCCGTTTTACACTGCAGACGAGATGAGATCCTTCCGTACATTGGGGTTGGAACCTGGTGAGCCGTGCTCTTGAAGCGTATCCAAGCCAATTCCGACCTATATCCTTCCTGAATCCTGGTAGGCTTAAAACTCTTAGGTTTTAAACCACGTGACACCATCAAGTTCGAGGATAATGTCAAGCATTCGCTCTTCTTATATCCTGAAGAAAATGTATGATGAGCATAGCTATCTCCCAGACATCTCCCATATAACAGCGCCGCCGTCTTCTTTGACTTCAGACTTACGCTGGTTCCAAACGCACTTTTAGTGCTCTTCTAAAATCAATGATCAAGAAGAAGGTGGCAGGTCTAGCAAGAGGAGTTCTACGACGAAATTCTACCCCAACAATCTACGCAGTCCTTCCTCAGGTATTGAGGATTGGCTATTCACCTAGACGTAGTCTAAGTTGTTTCTCACAGGAAGAAGACGTAGATGAGATGGAGCCCGCTGGATTCCATATCATTCCCCTACCCTTTGCAGACGACATTCGCTCTGCGCCTATCGATGAAGGCTACATTGGTTTGTCCATTTCCTTTTTCTACCGAGGTCTCACCTAAACGTTCCAGCTTCGGATGATTTAAAGGACAAGGCTCGGGCTTGGATAAACAAGATGACAATAAAATCTGGTTATGTACCAGATTCTTATCCCAATCCCGGTATGTCTCATGAATGAACATGCATCTTGCGCCTCACAAATTTGCGACAACAGCCTTAGCATTTCACTATGATCAACTAGAAGCGAGTGCATTTCGTGAAGAGTTTAACCCACATGCATTTGAAGATTTGACTGAACCGAATGTTGACCTTATCCACGCTGTGAGTGACTATTTGTTATCTATCGATGAGTTTCAACTTAGTGGTGCACAGAAAGCGGGGAAGCTCCTGAAAGAATGGAAAGTTGAATTGGCTAATGATGATAGTGCGACTTTGGTCATTCCCGTTACTGGTTCAAAACGAAAACCGGCATGTATTCCAATATCTCAGTCGCGCAGCTAATCACTCTATCTTATACTATTATTGATATAGGATGATGCATCTAACGACGGTATTGACGTGGCGGAAATCAAAAGTAGGTTCGAATCGGGCTCACTAATGAAGGTCAGTCCAACCTTACTATCTTTCTACCGTGTGACTTAAGCCTTCACTTTCCTCCAGTTGAAGGTTGACCAGTTGAAGGTAAGATTTATTACCAGTCGTAATACCTTCATCCAGTAAACCTTGTTCAAGGCATTCTGTCGAAGCCAAAATCTTTCGACTTCAGGAAAAAAGGCCGATTTGATACAGCGAGTCGAGGATTGGTGCAATTCGCATTGATAAGGTGTGCACTGGAAAAGACATACGATCGTCATATACATGTTGCGTCTGTCTGCGCGGATCGCTACGATATACGAGAGTGGCTAGTACATGAGGGTAGGTAGCGCAGTCATGTATCCTCGATATAGTAAGTAAAGAATATAAAAGGAAAATCATAAAATATCCAGTATGGTGTGCAGTCAGTCGTATTTGAACCGGCTCCAGGGATTATCCCGGTGTGACACTTGTACCATTGTCCCTGGAATCGTTGAAGGATGAAAGGATGAGCTCGCAACTGACGTATGCCCGAGACTGCTGTAAATCCTCACGTCCCGTCAACGGCTGGTAGGTCGTATATCTGCAGGTTTTTCTACCTCACCTACGCTGTTTTATTGGCAATTATAGTCATTCATTTACGTCGGTATTGGGCAGGAATGAACATGGCTCTCACAATCTGGGCATATCAAACGATCAATTTGCAAGTGGTGCAGCAAAGGTCGGGCACAATACTAAGGGTTGTTCGGGAATCGGACCTCGCCAGTATAATTCATATCCTATCCTATCCTATCCTAAGGTCTGTTTTCATGACACAAGTCGACTCAATATCATTTCTCATCTTCTTATGCTATGTTAACAGGCAAAAGAGGTAATTTATTGACTCAGTAATATGAATGATCTTGTGAGTGTATTGTAAATATATGTAAGAGACAAAGTATGTGATCGATTCTGAAGCTCCAAAGTCCTCAAAAAATAACGTCCACGTCTGTAGAACAATTGCAATAACCAATGAACGTACAGCAAAAGAATGAGATCTGGTTACAAAGAGAAATTCTAGGACGGTAAAAAGTCTACAACCAGTGTGTGGCCAAACATGTACCAGTTCATGTACGACTAGTAGGAGAACTTCATCAACCAAGGGTTCAGAACAATCTGTGTGTGAAAGAAAGGTCAGTGACTATCTACCCTGCCAAATCCTAAAAACGCACCGGTAGGAGTAGATGACATCCAACAACCAAGCTAAGCGGTATGATCAACGCCCAGTTCCAGCCTGGAATCTGCCAATCAAAGGGAACCGCGTCTGTGGTGAACACTACCATCATTGCTATAAGCAGAAGGCAAATGATGATAGAAAGCTTGAAGTTCTTGATGATACGAGGCACTTCAATCCAAAACGTCGATTTTTCGACTTCCTTTCCTGTGGAGCCCCAAGTCCTATGCAAAGAAAACCGCCGAGCATCAATATACCCGGAAAGAATGATACAGATTTCGAACATACATATCATACGAGAAGAGGTGCGCCAAGATAGCAGTCGAAAGATGGATGCTCAAACCTCCAAAGAAAAACAAGCTGTGTTTCATCAGTTTCTAAACACCGCTTGGTCACTAGAACACTCACAAGAACGGAACCCATCTCAGATTCTCCACAGCACTGCTCCAGATACTTCGATGGCCGAGACGATATTCCAACATGGTGAAACCGAGGTTTCCAAGGGCAGGGAACACCACGACGCAGGCAAGGAGAATTTCGAACGAATGCAAATAGAACCGGTCGAGGTCAGGGCCAAGCCCGAGCAGAAGGTAATTCAGAATCGACCCAATGGTGGCGGCGGCGATACCATCTACAGACAATGGTAAGGGGAACGAATCAGCGCTGGTCCTGTGCAGGAATTTGGATACTTACAATACGAGAACATGTAACTGCCCATGCCTATGCGTACACCATACAGTTGCATTATTTAGCTGGCAAGTGACACAAAGAACAGAAGAGGTAGTGACTCGCCTATCTTGTAATGAACAGGCGCGGCAGACTGCATGAATTCTCGGAGTTGTTTGCTGATAGGTCCGTGTCGCCACCACTTGATGAGTGGGTTGAAGATGATCTCATCACAACCTATAAGAACCAATTGGACCAACAGTTCGAACGTGAATGGATGATGAACACGCACCATAAGCGTATTTTTGCCATCTCGCTAATTCATCTACCACAGTCAAACTCACACCCTCTTTGAAACCACCCTGCGAGTATGTCGCCCATCGCAACGTATAGCCTTTCAGCAACAGCCTAAGGGCAAGATCGAAATCCTCTGAAACGTTCGCTTCAGACCACATCTTCCGTCGACCGTCAGCGGGATCGATAAACTACAACGAAATAGAACATAAAATAAGGCGTCGAAATCTTGTATAATACGTGAGAGGTCAAACTTACGCTGGCATCCTGCACGGCCTTCCATTGCAGGAATGCGTTATGACCGACGAAAGGCGCTACTTCTCCGTTCGCACACCCGTATGAGATACATCTGCAGAAAACACGAGGATGGGTTTGTAAGATGTCGAATGAAGCAGTGGAAATGACGAGATCACTTGTTAATTCTCCGTGTGAAATGAGTGATACCATTCTCAAAGTAATGGTGCGCGACTTGCATGACGTCTAAAAGGAAATAGTAAATCAATTTGATCTAGAAGACCAAAGCTGGAGGTTGGGCTCACCACTCTCATGCTGAATGATCGCAACTTCCTCTCCTCCCTCTTCACCCATCTCCCTTGCGGCATCTCGGAAACAGTCCTCTGGCACAACAGTATCCGCATCAATTATTAGAATAATCTCTCCAACGCGCAAACTCCGAGCTCCTCCAGCCCATGGACGATGATAAACCACTTCCTCGGTCTCTCTCCCTGACTCATCAATGACCTTCTTCACTGTACCAGACTCCTGGTAGATCTGCTCGATGGCAAGCTGCAGCGCTCGTTCTTCGAGGGATTCGATGCTTTCAAAATGGGGTTGAGAAGAAAAGGTAGAAGGGCTGCTAGCACTGGTATTCGGTCTGGTGGTTTCTCGAGGTTCACTGGAAGACAATGTGGTGTTGTTGGCACTAGAAGCATCGCCGATGAGTTTTGCGAGCTGTTGTTCCATAGCAATACTAAGAGCGAGACCGTAATTCATATTACTCGCTTTCTTGAATTTGCCTGCACGTTTGAAACCACCTGGACCAGAAGAATGACGCGGACGTGCGACCCAGCCGATGTTGTGATTGGCGTAGAACTCCAGTCTGTAAGGTGAAGGGGCAATCAGCAAATGGGAAGAGATACCTGTATAGACCATACCTTTTCTGTTTATCCTCCTCTGGAATTATCTGCAGACCATCATCACAGATAAAGATGGAACTAGTTCCTCCCTGCCGAGCATACGTTTGCATGGCTTTCTTGATTGAAAATACGGAAGGTGCACTGGTAACAGTTCAGCTCAAGCACAAAGGAGGAAAATACCCGGAATACATACATCGTCAATTCCAAACTTTCTTTATAAACCGGGCACTGTATCGTGATATGGGGAAGCCCACCGACCCGGACTTCTCTCTGAAGTTCCCGTTCCACCTCTTTCAAGTCACCTTCAGTCCCATTTTCGCTGCTGTTCCTGACAACTATTCGTTCAACAGTCTCACTCCATCTAGCGGCACCATCGACTTTAGCGTTCGGCTTTGGACGTTGAGCAGAATAGTAGGCACTGTTTTCATGATATTGTGCTACCGGTCCAAGAACAAGAGAAAGATTTCCAATGAGTTGAAGGCAAAAAAACTGGGGAAAAGCAACTGAATTTCAGACACTTGGCATTGAAAAACATATACATTGCTCACTATGCTGACGGCGGCAACTACGGGTAACACCACAACTAGTCCGAACCGACGTGTATCACCGTCCAAGACCCATTCTTCGATGAGGTTCGAAATACCAGCTGCAGCGAAATACATGGTCAATGCAGCACCGCAACCTGCATAGAAAGGACCGAGGAGGACAAGCTGACGAGGTTCAGGACCAGTGTCAGAGCCTTCTTCAAGATTGAAGGCATCTGAGAACAATGTCAAATTTTAATATACATTACGGATGCACAGTTGAAGTACTCAATGGACATACCTTTCTCTGACTGGGCAGGGGCAGGTGGCTGCAGTTTCCACCATGAGAGAAACGACCAGAATGAACTCTTCTTAGGCTTTTTCGACACCTTCTTAGGCTGTACAACCTTCTCCTCCTGATCCTGCTCATCCGCAGCGCCAAAGCCAAAATCAACAACCATTGTATCCGCAGCGGACCGATCGACATCTTCCATGCCGAACGGCCCAGCAGCGGTTGACAACCTAGTGGATGAATATTGAGGGAGGGCAATAGTTGAAGGGGCGGCAGAAGTCACAGTCGAAGCGAGATCCGGCAAGCTGCCAGTGTGCATCACAGGTGATCCAGTCGGATCAAAGAAGCCTGGAGTATTACTATCCCTCCTCGGAGTACTTCTAGTGCGCCAAATGTACTTGATTAACTTCTCCTCGAACTCAGCCCACAATGGAATCACTTGATCAACCGAAAACGCCCAGACCACAAGGGTATGGTCCGAGCGAATGAAGGCAGCACATTGTTCCCTCTCGGCATCGCCTAAAGCGCTGATGTCGGGAAGAATCTGAATGCGCGTGTTTGAGTCGATGAGAATCTCCCTCGCGGTAGGCGGTGAGCGAGACACAGCAGCATGGACACTAGCACTGCGAATCTTGACAGCCACTTCAACATTGAGCCGACGAACGCCTTCTTCGAATGGAATGAGTTTAGGATTCTCGTATGGAAAGCACCGGAAGGACGTTGGATCTACACGTAAACAAACGCCAGTGGAATCCGTGTCACCAGCTGGTTTGAACCAGTTATCCTGCAGCGTCTTTTCGTATATATTGTGCAGGAGAGCATCGAACGCATCGTAGTCGTTGTTCAGGATCGTAAGCGAGTGTGAAGGAGAGTATAACTCGGGATCGGACGCAGAATTTAAATGAGAGGGATGAATAGGGCGCGCCTGTGGTTGAAAGTGGACTTGGTTGTGGGACGCCATTTTCAACGGGTTTGGGGGGAATCAAAAGAGGGAGAACCAAACAGAGAACAAGCAAAAAGTTCCTTGATAAAAGAGACCTCGGAAGTGACGGCGTACGTGTAACACCGCCCCTTCTTCAGCCTTCTTCCTACCACGCCTCAACACCTCTCAATCATTATGCAGAAGCCTTCGAGTTCCTGGGGCCTTAGAAGGCAACATCTAAAAGTTATGCCGTTACAAAGCGTCACAATCATTGTCAACGTCGCCTGGCCTCATTCAAAGAAAGCGAATAGGATGTGCCATAACGCTATCTGGAATGAATAGCACGTCTCGGTCGAGAGCTGATATCTTGAAACTTCAAATGATGAACATCGGAGAACAGGCAATCGCTGACAGCTCTCACAGCCCGAGAGCATTTAGGACAGGAACGACCAATTTTTCTCGGATAGCCATAGGCCATGCAAATCTATACACAATTTTAGTTGTATTATCAAAGCCGCTCATCAGACTCGAGTGAGGCTAGTAGGAAAGCAGACAGGAGAAAAAACATCGTCAACTCACACGTGTGATCGGAAGCAGGAAGTTCGTCTTATCCAGTCTATTCTTTTCCAGCCGCAAAGTCCGCGTCAGTCACTTAGTCACTTCAAGATAACAGAAATAATACATACCAACGGTCAAGCTGCTATCACCTCCATCCCGATGAGTTCGAATGAGTACGACATTCTGTTATCTGGGTCTTGGAGACCCGCGTCGTAGCTACCCACTAGCGTAGGAGTTGTCGGCAATAACTGGTAGGCGACTTCGCTGCCGCCAGCAACGGTAGGTAACACTACAAAGTTGGCCGACAAACGTCCCTTCGATGTTGGGCCGAAGAAAAAGAGCTAGGTTGTGTACGTTGAAGCAATTGAAAACCGACAAGAATAAACTATAATGTAGGAATCGATGACGGCCATCGAAGAACGTAGAGACCGATGACCGAAAGTCGCTCTTCTGAAGATCTGGTCAGTATCATTCAAAACTAAAGAGAAGATAGAGGAGACAGCTGGAACGGACTCAAGTCAATATGTGAATATGGACATAAGAAATGAACACATAGTAAGATTGTTTGAAATCACTCTGAATGAACTGAGACGGCTACAGTAGTAATGATAGCTCAGTTCGTGAAAAAGGAACCGACAAAGATCACCTCAAATTCTTTGATAGTTGATCGAGAGACCTTGAACTTGATCCGGGTTCATGAGAATAGGTTCCTGGTATTTGAGAATAGCCTCGTATAAATACCGAGCAGTACACGGAATATATGATTTGGAGCCCCTGCTCTGCGCAAGGAGTACCAGGGCCAGGAGAAACCAGGGGAAATAAACAGTGCGTCCTAGCACCAGGGCAACATCAGCACATGGGCGAAAAACCAGAAGACTTAAGGTGCACCTTTAAAAAGCCATGTACTACGTAGTACCTCCTGAACCTCTGCTAGTCTCTCAAGTAAGCCTGAGAATTTGGGACTTGACGCACGCAACCCAGCTAGTATTGCCAATCGTCTTGCCCGTGAAGATGTGTAGAATAGATTCTGTTTGATGAACTATGTTGAATTTCCGATTGAGAAAGAGTTGACCCCGGCTCCATGAACCTAAACAGGAAGCTCAATGGCAACAAAGTATGTATAGATACATGAAGAAGAATGTACTTATGAACCGCCGCTCAAATACTCGTCTTAGACACTCTTTGTTTATTCTATCCAAGCAATCGTTCAAAAAATAGACCAGACTTGAACATGTTGCATGAGACCGGACCCGGAAACAACATCAGCTTTTTGTAGCCTTCCGAGTCTCTTTGAATCATGCGGTGTCATGTGGTCCGAAATTTGTCGAGTTTCGCCTGATGTTGGACGAACATCCAACTCGGCTTCCAATGGCGTATGCGTCTAAGCCTGAAAAGATGAAGTTCCAATGAATATAGAAAATCTGCTCGCCTCTGACCTGGAAAATCTCAGGAAACTCTGTTCCAAAGGTGCGACTAGGTGATATCTGTAGGTCGGCTACTACAGGCAACGCGAGTAATCAGAACCGCGAGATACGGTCCAGTTACTGTAGCTACCGCAGAGCTAAGATTGAAAGGACAAATACGCAGGATTCAGGTGGTAATCAGGAGCCTGAGATCATCTGGAAAACTCAGATCAAACATACTAGTAAGATTCAAATAGTAGTAGGACATACACACATACCGCTTTCTGACCGTGACACGACCCGAAGAACTTAAATCTTCTCCATTGACACAAACTTTGTCTCAGGAAAGATGCCAACTTCATTCCACAGAGACCCAATTAACAAACAGAACCAACAAGAGAAATTAAACGGCAAGGAACTTCGAAATCGGACATTTTTTTCCTTTGATATCTTGAGATTCGAGGCAAGGGAATTCGAAGCATTGTCACATCGTCCTATCGTAGAATTGGTAGGCATCGTTCCCCGACCTCGCTGCAATCTCCGCAATCCCATCCAGAAAAGGGGGAACGCGTCAATTCGCAATCTTGCTTTGCAATCAAGTCGCAAAGTAAAAGAGAAGAGGAGCAATCCTACTAGCGCGCGCTTGACCGGGCTCGGATCGGATCATTCTCCCTTGCCATTGTGCCATTGATTGTCACCAGCATTCCCACTCATGATCAATCTTCCTCGTTGAAAAAAACTCTCACGTTTTTCTGCTCAATCTTCCTATCCTCCCAGACTTATGCTCAGCTTGCACAAGTACCTTTAACTACACCATCTAGGGCACTCAGCATCCTCTTGGATACGTTGGGAACTTTTTCACCGTCATTTGTGGAATGAACTTCTCTTTCCATCCTACTATCCTCCGACTCCACCTCTGATTCCAGATAAAAGGCGAGCAGTGAGTGGATCAATTAACGGTGAATACACTGGCATCTCATGAAATGAGCACCGTCGAACATTCACTCCTGGTGGTCAACAACAATCACTCGTCCAATATCGATTTTCTTGGAATCGGAACCAGTGATACTGTGGACGTCATTTGTATTAGCTTGGCCAATAAAATGAATTTAGCATCCGTTGTATCGAAGGTCTACATCAAAACCAACACTATCTATCTATCCCCTAGAAACTGATCTGACTCGAAAACCCTCCTTAATTCGAGAAGACCGTCCTGATCCTCCTTCCGAGTCCCTTTCTGACATGATATGATATCCTTAGCACCATTGTTGAGCTCCTGTTCGTCCTCAGTAACAACATGCTCACGATAGTCCATGTCACTACTTCTATGGCTAGTTGCCTCCGTTGAACCTGACTGACTGCTCCAGGTCGACCGAACCCCCAATCCTGATAAGCCAGGCGTCAATCGTTCACGAAACGCCGTCATCTGACAATGTTGTTTGATGGCGTTTACGGAGATACATGACGAGAAGAGTTCCGAAACCAGATACGATGCCGACCACAGCGAGGGTTATGCCATAACTATACGGGAATGGATACCATCGGTGCTAGATGACGTTGCAGATGGCGATGAACTTGGGATTGAGGTGATAGTAGTGGGATTAAGAGTATCAGTACCCGTGCCAACGCTTGATGTTGGTATCATATAGTGGTATAGAACTCGTTCTGGAAGGATCTGATTCAGCAGTTAGAAATGATCAAATTAGATGAGAACAATCACTTTACCTTGAAGAGATATTCATTGAAATGATACTTGTAACTTCTGTCGACAATTTCATGGCAAAAGATGTTACTCCAGCAAACTGTCGTAAATTACATCGTTCTTTCCCGATGCCATATTTGACCATTCACTAAGTTTTCTCAGTCTTATGCCAGGAGAAACTCCTGAGCTGACCGGTGGCGCTCCTCAAATTGGTGTGGTTGAAAATACATGTTCGATGGTTTTTTCAATAATCAAGGTGAGTGGTAAGTACGGTATTACCTGATTCCATTTACATTATCTCAGTTGTTCAATCATCTACATCCTTCTCCATTATCCCAAATGATATCAAATCTCAGCCACCGAGTAATCTTCATATTAAACGAAACAACAAAATTGGAAATGCATAGTAACACCAGAAGCAAAGGGCTGCAACAGAAAAGCCTAGGGTGAGTACTAGTGGTTGTGATTAAGTTGAATATATGCACTCACATTGGCTGCAATGGAGACCTGCCCATATTTATTGAAGAGACGAAGTGACAGGATACAAGAAATCAAGGACATGCTTGGCGAGCAGGACAATCAATCTCGAGCAATCCCTCTACCAGAGCCAGAGGTCTGCTTGAGGTTCGACTTTTGCTGATGATCGCTGGTGTTCGGTAATCCATTGAGCATACATAGTAGGTCATAGACTTGGTCTATAGTTACATTGGCATTACGGCAAGAGCCAAAAAGATGAAAATTCATTTCAGTTATAACATAACCCTAACCTCGCCCTTCTACCTTCTCCTCTTCGCCCATTATTCTTCCGCCATAATTTTCGTAATTGAATGTCTCAAATACTTCAATGCGTGATGCGTCGTTGTGGCTGGAAAAAGCTGTACAGCTACATGCTCCATATCCCTCAAGCCCTCCGTCAACGAGTCACGGTAGTCATAGACAGTCATAGACTCACCAAACCTTTGCCGTGACCATTTTCCAAGCTACCGGATTAAAGTAGAAAGCTGACTTGAGAAGGCATCGATGGTTGCATCTATATCACCATCTATCCACATTCTGCAGTGACCTTTCGAAGCATCAACATGATTTCAATCTCATCAAAACTGTTGCCGCCGTTGAGCTCTGCATGGATGCATCAAGCATCTATATACTTATCTATTTTGATTGCTCGAAGTAAATCCCACCTTGTGCACTGCTGGTGGACAAGGTGTTGCGAGGCTTCATTCCTATTAACCACTGGCAGTGCAGTCCGTCTGATATCATTCCACAGCATATTGCCGACGTCGATGTCGCCGTCTGCGATCAGTGATTCGAGGTCTCCCATGAGCTTGATAATGGTCGTCTTTGAGGAATTATTTTCCGTTCCCTTGTCGAATAATGGTTCCAATGAACATCGCTCTCCTTCTCCTGTGGTGAGTGTGCTCGATGTGGGGAACAGTGTGTTCTCTGACGTTGTATAGGCTGTTTTTGTACATCTCGTCATCTCTAGCGCACTTTGATCCCAATTTTCTTGATCTTTCGATAAATCCTACTATAACAGTCGGACAATCCTTCAATGCTACTTGGAGATGGAACGGCATGCGAATTCCTTATGCTCACCCTCTCATTGTGACGGTCGGTCAAAATAACCAAGCCTCAACTACTACGACTTCCACTGCTAGTCCAGGTGTCAACAACGGTGTAATACAGTTGCAAGTCTCAGAAACCGGGTAATATATCACTATTTGTGGGGGGACGAGATAGATTTAAATGTATGTATGTAGATCATTTCGAGCAACTCTTGCTGCGCCGTTTTCCGGGTGAGTTGGTGTCTTCATATTTTGAAATTTCGAATGCTGACGTTGAGCGTAAGATTTTTTTTGATCCCCCCCTTTACGATTACTCAAACTGCCCAATTCGTTGTTGTACCCACTGCGCTACCAGATATAATGTCAGTCTTTCTCAGTGATCTAGTATCTCTGACACTTTGAAAGCGCTAAAAATGACTTACATATTCACGAATCTACCCGTCTCAAACGACCGTAAGCACTCCAATCAGTCCTTCTTCGCCAATGTATGACTCAATCTATCATCTATTTGAATCGCCAGTTCACAAATCCTTCACAGTATATCATCTCTATCTCCTTCGACTGCTTCAGGAATCAGTCAAATATCAACGTAAGTTTATTGAGAGTTGATTTTTGTATCGATGACTGAAAAGGTCGCCCAGGACATCGGTGATTGGTTCTGGAACACAGTAAGTATTCAGAATTATCAATAGTTTGTGGTGCTAGAGTTGTTTGATTTTTCTTAGATCCCTGCCGACCGTTACCCCTCTTCCTGCAGCTATTAGCACGATGTAAGTCTTGCAACCCTAAGTCTCAAGTTAACAGATAGGTTAAGCATAATCAGCACGCCCACTACTTCTACAGATTTGACAAACTCTACCCAGCAAAGGTCAGTACACGATCCATTTCTGGAGAATGATTTCGGCCTTCTGAGTAATAAATCCCGTTATGTGTTTTAGCACAACACCTTCACCAACCATGCAATCTGATACGAGCGTGAACTCTCTGGTTGGTATCATCTTAGGCGCCATATTTGGTTCCCTTTCCGCATTTCTGCTACTTGCAATCTTGGTATATTGTGTATGGCGGCATCGTCGACGAACCCTTCCCCGGCGCAACACCCTTTCAGACTTGAACTCCAACGGATTCTATCCTAACCGAATGTCAGCCAACGCTATCCCAAGCGTTGAACAAGCCCTAGACAAAGAAGAAGAAAACTGGGATGCCTATACTGAATCATCGCTAGCTCCATCAGATTCAGTGTCGAGGGTTGTGTGGTCTTTCTCGCAGGGAAAGAAGAAAGTTCGACCACTGGCTACTTCTACAGCATTGGCTACGCAGAGTAGCACTGCAGCGAATGATAGTAGGGAGTCGAAGCCCGATGCGACCCCGGATTCGGGTCGATATCGCAGTGCCAACATAGATCTTCCATATAAGATTCCAATGATTATAATGACGACTGCAACACCCTCTCCCCCATCTACTACGGTATCATAGTAGTTTGTCTGTACCCGTGTATATTTGCGAAGGCTATCATATCCTAAGTTATCCTTACTCCCAGTTATATTCAGTCTCTGTCATATATATATACATGTTTAGTTTCACTTAACAGATATTACTAGGAAAGGATATGATAGGATACAGGTGAGGTCCGATTCCCAAACAACCATTTTACCATGTACTGAACAATACAATATGTTGTATAATGACGGAACTAGTATAATAAGTCACTTGAAACCTAGCTATGTATTTCTTGAACTCGAGTGATTTTGCGCAAAATGAGGAACCCCCCCCCCCACGCACTGTTCTGAATGCTGTTCCTAGTCGAATGCAGTGAACCGTCGATCATAGCCTTGGCGTAAATATCGAACCGCAAAGTAGTTTCACAGAAAGCAACGGATGGAATTGAGAACCTCACTTTGATTACAGTCAGCACAAACAGACTATAGTACGATTGAGGCAACAGTGTTGAAGACAGAATAATGTCAGCGAAGTACAAGGCAAATACACATGAGGAAGACGGCTCGCTAACTACTTTACAAACTTCCGAACTACACTAGTCCAAGTCGGCACCGAAGGGACCAAAATTTCCAGAGCGCCGGTAGTGGGAAGGTGTATCATCTCCAGGAGGACTGAGAGGCACACCCGTTCCAGGTGTGTCTCGCTGCGGGTATCTCTTGTGTCGTAAGAGAGCTTCCTTCACAAAAGCCTGGAATTTTTGAGACTCCGTGTTCAGTTGTTTGCCAGTCGAGGTTTCCTTCAAGTAACGTGTCCAGTTACAATCAATTTCTTTCCACTCTTTCTGGCTCTCTTTCCTCATAGGTCTCCATTTACTACCATATTCCTCCTTTTCTTCTGGGGATAAACTCCTGTAAACAGGTCCCTCATCCTCGTTAGAATCCAAAGATATGAACGATGCCTTAGGGTCGGCTGAGTCGCGTAACGAGGAAGAAGAGGGAATTTTGGATATCACACCATTTATCGGTGGGTTTACATTCATGCCAGACTGACGGGGGTATAGTCGTGAATGATCGGGAATGCTGGAGGCAGGGCTCCCGCCAGATGGAACAGAGGACACGACAGTGCGTCGAAGATCCTGACGATGATTCATTTCTCCCAGAAGAGGTTCATCGACTGATAATTCTTCCATTCCGATCACCGAGAGCTGGGTCGCATCAACCTGTAAACATATTAATAACATGGACAGCATACATACATAGAGAAAGAGAGAACGCACCCCGCGTTCACTCTCTTCGACGTTCACGAACTCAGTCGGAACAACTGAAGCATCATCCTGGTGGCAAGGAGATGATGAAAGGGTGTTATCAAGATAGAAATGATAGAGACAAAACAGACAAGACCTGCTTACATCATGGTGCGTGAACTCTTCGTCGTCGTAGTGGGGGTTGGACTCTGCCTCAATATCAAGGCCATTTTCACCATAGCGACGAGCTTGTTGCTCGTTAAGCTCAACGTCAACCGCAAAGACATCCCCATCACGATGGTGGTCTCGACGTGAGAGACCGTACACCGCTTCATTCTTGAGTCCGCGAACCTCCGGCTCATCACGAGTGGAGAATGAATTTACGCCTTGTAAACCTGGAATGCCGGCGACATTCATGGCACCGGGGGCGGGCGGCAAGGGAATGGCAAGAACAGTGGAAGCGACTCCGATAGCGATAGCTGTTTGGAGCAAGGAATAAGAGTGAAACATGGTTGATGTTTTAGTGTTTTGCATTGGAAAAGAGGAAAAGCGTTGGAAGTATAGGGCAACTGGCGCTTTTTGAGTACGATGCAGTAGGGAAAAGAGACCAGCTCTGTTGGGGAAAATCGAAGAAAGAGGGCGTTTTGTAGAAAGCCGATGTTGGAATGTCCCTGGAGGCCATATACGCTCGTGTTACAGTGATGTACGGTAATGGCTATATGTGCTCATTTCGCAACGATGGGAAACCGAGAAGATCCGCCGGAGAAGGTAGTGTGTTAGGGTGTATTTTGAACCTGCTACGATCTGCTACGATACATAGTCTGTTAACATATGCATATGTTTAGTCAGTACAGAGGAAAAATTAGACATCTAAATCGTTCTTACTAAATACTAGGGAATTGAATCAGCTGCAGATTTTTCCAAGGAGCTCGCGTTCAATTTCAGTCACAGTTTCCATCTGCTGGACCATCCTTCCATCTCTCGTCCGTCTTCGTACAATCGAATGTCTCCTTTCCTAGCTTCCTATTCACCTGATTGTGTCTCTCGCACAACCACCGACTCAATCCAGCCCTTCCACTAACGTCCGGCGCGTTCAGCTTGATATCTTCACCGAAATCGTCTGCACAATGTGTACATGGATAAAGTACCGGCAAGGAGTGTAATAGAGTAAGCATAATGGCGCGCTGTGTGGGTGTAGGCCGTACCGGGTAGTAGGCCGCGGTTGTATGTAGGAACGTCCAAGTCGCGTGGCCAAGCTCTTCAGAGTCTGGTGGACAATTTGTGAGTGGGATTTCGAGTGAAGCTGAAGCAGGAGAAGTTGCAAGTGTAGTGGCAGCTCCTGAAGCAGCTGTTTTGTTGTGACTTTGCTCCTGTGTCATTATAGCGGGTTTCCAAAGTCTCCAGGAGGTACAAGCTTGACATGGTTTCCCGTCTGGGCCTGTTACAATTCCAGGCGGGAGATCCCTTTCGGTCCTTGATTCTGGCAAAAAGAGCGGAGCAACAAAGGCGGAAGGAAGGTCCGGCGGAAGTGGTGAACCGACATCAATCCGGTTCAATTCTTCGCACGTTGTCTTCCTTCGTCGTATGTAGCGGCTCCCAGTCTCTCTCCCAGTATTACTTACTGTAATCTCGAGTGATGCTGTACAATGCTACGTTCAAGTCAAGTCATTCCTAGTCACGCCTAGTCCTCACTCATTATGAAGGGCCGATCGTGAGTTACATAAAAATTTTCAGTTTGCTTCCGGTGTGTGCTAGATAATGTATTAGTACGGCGTTTCCTCTCGTTCTCATACTTTGTATCCTTAGGCCTTTGTGTCTTCTTCTCTTCGGATATTTGTTGGGATTATCGCCGGAATACCTTCTCAATAATCAAGAATAGCCAAGACTTTCTTTCATCCACCTGACGCTCTTGCACTGCTATACTTGCCAAGCAGCTATCGTTTATCCTGCGTTTATCCACTCATGACTTTCCATTTGATTTCATGGTCAAAGAGATGCTCTATAGCTCATCTCACATGTATTCTCAGACCCTTTCAACTCGCATGGCAACTGGCATCATGGCGTATCTCACCGCTTAATCCACTGTTCCTTAGTTGCTCGTTCAAGTTATTCTCGCTACAATATTGGCGAGGGCGGACCGATTGCTCTCCATTGCGTGCCTGAACCATGATGTCTCTATGAAGTACTAGTTCCTGGCGTTTTCTCTTAAAAGACAACGAACGAAAGATAACCCACATTTGCAACCCTGGTGAACATGCAGGCTTTTCTTTCTGCTGCTACGGTCTTTCTCTTAAGCCTGATGCATGCCCAGGAAGCTCTAGCCTTCATTGAGTGTAGCGTCCTTAATTACGGTGAGTGTATAGTGATTGCCCTTGAATCTGGTAACTCGCTCACTCTTACTTCAAAAGGTGCTGTTGCGGACAACGCAACGGACTTGGGACCAGCTTTGACGAAAGCTTGGCAAGAGTGTGTTATACCACAAGTAACAACCACCGTCGCCACGGACGTGCTCCTCTACGTTCCTGCAGGGAACTATCTTCTCGCGTATGTAGAAAATGATATTGGTCTAACTTCCGAGTCTTATTATTCCCTGATTGTAGATCTACGGTAACTTTCGATGACGCGGCCAACTGGAACCTCCATATCGCTGGTGACATATTCTTACCTTTCAATCCTTCTTTAACTGGGACAATGCTCACGTTTGAGGTAAGCTTTTGAACTTTAACCACAGTCTATTTCTATTTTCGCCGGCTTAGATCTTGCGCAGAACTGCGAAAACATTCTTCTCAACGGTCCTGGTGCAATCTACGGTACGTCCTTCACCTCAACTCTCACTTCCCTTGAGAGGTCTAAATCATGTTCAGGCAACGGGTACCGCTATCGTCCCGGTGGAGATGTACGTCAACAACCGCCTTTATTTCAATCCGACATCCCTTCTGAATGAACAGCACAAAATCCTGTAGCTCACACTGTATCCCAGTCGTCCCCGTCTCATAAGATTCCAAACCTGTAACAAGTCAGTCGGTCCGTTTGATGGCCGCGAACTAAGCTGATTCCGCCGTTATTTTTTTCTTCCTAGTTGCGAAATCACGGCTATCACCCTCTACGACGCACCCATGTTCCATGTTACAATGATTGGTGAGTATGAACCTCCTCTTTGACTGTTTTCGCTGTATCATGACTAATGGCATGATTTTTGATAGGCAACAAGTTAGTACCAATACTTCTACGAGGAAAGTATTTCTGATGGATTCAATTACACCATAGCAATGAAGCTCACGATATGTCCATCATCGCATCTCACATCGGTTAGTAGGCATTCAGCCCTCATTCTTTAATCTACGCTTGATCTAAAATCTATACTATGGCCTTAGGTGAAACTGACGGTTTCGATATGAGCGGCAACAACAACTACGTGCATGATGTTACTGTGGAGGTACGATTGTACCCGTTCCTGCTCCCTTTTCTCTGTCTTAATTTGTTTCATTTAGAATGGTGGTAGGCATTGGACGTTCACATATTTGGATTTCCTTATGGACCGCATCTTCCGTACTTGTAGATGAATGTGTTACAGTCAAGACGCCCACCAATGTGCGTGTCGAGTCATAGTCTCTGTGTTCCTCAAAAGATGCTGACTTCGTTCATGATTTATTGACAGGGTTTTGTTGCAGAAAGGATCACTTGCAGATACACAGCTGGTAAGCTTTGGGCGAACACTACTTATTGGGTTCATCAAAGATCTATCATATTGCAGGCTGTAATATTGGATCCTTTGGCTCCGGGGCTACTGGCGTCGACGTACAGGTAAATCACTTACGTGCAACCCATAGTTCATTCGTTTATGCTGATATTACATTCACTCGCCTCTCGCATGCTTCATGTAGAATGTCTACTACAGCGACGTCACAATATCCAATTCCGATGCAGGTGTGATGATTAAGAGCTATCCCAACTGTGCTGGGACTGTGAAGAATGTCACATTCACTGGTTTTACTCTTGTAAGGATACTTTTCTCGTCGTGATTGACTGTTTACATTGGTGGTTTCCTAATGAATATCTCAGAGTGCTGCCGCTTATCCAATCTGTGAGTTTTCTTCCGTCTCATTCTTATATCAATTTCCGAGAGGTGAAACCTCGCAATACAGACATTAGTGCCTTCTGGGAGGTAAGTCACCCAAAGTCGCTGTATATTTGTATGAGGCCTGAACATAGGATCTCAACGTCTCAGGGAGGGACTACTGATACCGGCACCCTCCAAATCTCTGATGTGACATTTGAGAATTTCCAGGTAAGAACAGTTCGAGCATTCTTGTACAGGCACGGCCGCTCATGACAAATTAACTCTACATTGCATCCACTCTGGGTGTATAATCAATAGGGAACAGGTACCCCGACTCGTCCCGCTGTCCTACTGGACTGTAACAAGGCTACTCCGTGCAAGGATATAGCAGTAAGGATTTTTTCCAGCTAATTTAAATACAGCGTAGTAATGATTGACTTGTTATTACAGTTCTCCGGAATCAGTCTGACTGATACCAAGGCAGACTCATTCACGAATGCTTGCGGATCTGGCTTGAGTGGTTTGTCCTCGTGCTAGGGGTATCGGGGTATCATTATCTATTTTTTACGAAAATGCATTGGGCATATGTACATCAAGGTAAAGCTGAAAGTTACTTACTGTAAATTTTGGTCTGGATCTCAATGTCTATTTGTGCCAATATGAAACTATTAGTATATACCCAGTCTCTGTTCCTTTAAACGCGTTCAACACGCGTATGATAATGTTGTACAGTTTTGCGGCCACGTGATGGCGTCCCTCTATCATTCGGGATTTCTGTACAGCCAACCTTGCACTACTGAATAAACGACTAAATTGTCGATGCCAGGTCAAAGTGAACTGTTCCTCGTAGCTCATGTGATTGCAGCTGCAGCTCAGCTCGACACAAGCTTACTGGAGCTATTCAAGTTGCTGTTTGGTCTCGGTCTTGGCTTTCATAGCGTGTAGGTAAGTTCACCGCTTAGGTTGTTTGACCATCTCATTTGACTGACTGAGATGGTCATCAGATCTTGGTTCATCCATTTAAGTCCCCTCTATGTCGTTGACTGCTTGTTATGCCCTGAATACGGACACCTAACAGATCAATGTCGCCCTTCATTTATAAAATTTCAGTGTTCATTTTTGCTAACATGTTAGTTTTTGCTGCTACTATTCCAATCACAGATGCCGAAGTCCAAAGCTTGGACTTACCAGCCTGCAGTGATGACTGCATGCAATTTTATTTGTCGGAAATTGGATGCACCACGTCAGTCGCTAGCTTTCTCTGTATACAGTGATATGCTGACTCTGGGCTATGCATAAAATGCTAATGCAAGCTTTAACACTCACACCAACACCAACACAAACCATCATCACACACTAAGTTCAAGGGGGTTTATCATTGAAAAAGCAAGATAACACTGCAACTCTACAAATATCTACATCATGTGGGTATAATGTATAGGTTGAATAGTTTTTCTTCTCGAGATTTTATCAAACTCGGGCATGCTAAATCTTTCTTTGACTTTATCTGAACTGAACAAAACCTCTGATTTGTATTATACACTACAAGTACAATCCACAGAAAGAGTGTGCACTACTCACAGCACTCTGACTGCTATTAACTCTGAAGCATAATGGTAATCTGTGACTTTGAACTTTCTTTCTTTCTGTCTTTCTTAAACTCTAACTTGTTTAAAGTGAAAGTCAACACTGTATCATCTTTGTTTAAAGTGCACTTGTCACTATAGCCAGAAGCTACTAACCAACCAACCAAATCCTCTCAGAAGTGGGGGGGGAAGTGCTTGTTCTCATTTAGAGGCCAGCACCCTCCTTATATATCCTCAAAATAACCCTTAACAACTGATATCAATCATTGTAGCATGTGGAACTTTTGTAGCATGTGCTGATTTTGATGGAAATCATGCTGCATCTCGGAGTAGCATGTGGTCCTGTTGTACCATGTGCTACCTTTGATGGAAATCATGCTGTACCTCGGAAGGCTTTCCGGATGAGGGACATATGCTAAATCATTTCTGATATTCTCGGAATTAACTCCAGAGGTCCGGAATATTGTTATCTTTCAATCTTATCATTCAGCTCTATTGAAATGCTATACAAAGGTGAAGCTCGAAACACTTTAATCCTGCAGATATTGTCACAGTCCAAGTCAAACACAAGTGTGGGTTTTAGTATTAGAGCTTTGTTACTTGGAAATACAACTGTATTATGCTATGAAGACCCACTTAAGTGTCATTCAGATGCAATCACTGTGTAGTTCTGTGTGTTTTCTCTGAATACAATGTACTGTCCAGTCTCAGCATCACTGATAGTACTTTACAGTTGAAAATGCATAATTACTGCATTATAGACTCAAATAAAAATGGGTCATATCATCCCCCCTTTTCTTAATATGAACTGTCCTCAGTTCACTGAACTATACAGGTTCTGGGGCTCTGACTTTCAACTATTTCAATACTGAGCTTGTACAATACATGGAATAACAAGTGTTGAGTTGAACTCATTTTCTCTGCTGTTGTTGAATCCTCCAAGTTCAGCCTCTGCATTTTACTAAAAGAGCCATTTTAGCACAACATACTGTTTACTCTTTGCTTATTATGTAGCTTTCAACTGTCAATCTTTTTCTGTATATCAGAAGCTTTCAAATAATGCATGACTATCAGTTATTGCACCAGCTTCAACTCATAAATACTTTATTCCGTTCTGACAAGCTTCAGTGCTTATCTTCTTATTCAGGCAAACTGCTACTTTCAACATGAACAGACTTTCTTTGCAAATGACATCTATCCAAATTGTTCAATAGCTCAAGCTACTGGTACTTATTGTGACAATCTGAATTGTGCTTTCAAAGTCCTACTATGCTTTTAAGGATTGCTCCATATTATATTTCTCAATTTCAAGCTACATATTCTGTTCATGTTTCTTTCAGAGTATAATTTCCACTTAAGATTATTCTCATCTCGAAGTTTTTACTTTTCAACTTTTGACCTGGATTTTATATTCAATCTTGTGCTCAAAAATACTGTCTTTCCAGCTCATTGTTCGACACTCATTAAACAATGGACTATTCATTCTTTATTACAAGACATTCTTTTCAATGGTTTAGCTCAAGTTCATGAATACAAGACATCAGCAAATAATTGACTTTCTTCAAGTCCTTCTTAACTTTGAATTTGAATGTATGTGACAGTTGATTGCTTATGCACTTGTAGCTTCAATTCAGAGTAATGACATTGAGCACTTAAGCTGCTTCTGCACTGTACAACACTTCACTCTCAGAGTTCACTTTTCTCGGATTTGTTTACTGTGATCAAACTATCAATGGAGACTGTGAATCTCTGAAAGTTTGACAGCAACAGAACTACAATGCAATAAGTTCTTCACTTGTCTGGACATTAACACCATCATACTGTTAATTGTGTATTTAAGTCAGTACAATTGAACATGATTTCTGAAACCAAGTTGCCAAACTTTGCTTCCGCTTTTTCTTCTTGTTCTTGAGCTGAGTGTTTCAAACACTACTATCTTACATTTTCGGAACAGCCAAGTTTGAATTACATATGGCTGTGCTTTTCATTGCCAAGTTCTAGTTCTTTAATTCTGTGTTCATTCCATTTTCAAGCTACAATAAGCCTTGGGTTTTGAAGGGGTTCTTCTCAGAGGAGTTCTACTTTCTTATGCTTTGGTAAGGTAAACCTGATTCATGTTCATGATATTTATCTGAATCAATCTGAACAGGTTCAACAATCATAAGTTCAATGATGTTCCATGTGTACTTGTCCAACATCAAAGTCATTCAATCAATGCTTTCTATACACAGACCATTCTGCACACAAGAATATGACAACCAATATATATATACCACTGTTCTTGTGATTTTTCTTCCACTTCATTTTCTGAACATGCTGTTGTTTCCATTCAAATCTTCTCAAAGACAATTTCTTCACTTCACAAGATTGTTGTCTGATTAAGACCAAGATCTTCTTTATCATGCTGAACCATTAAAGTTTGGATACAACAATTATTCTGTTGAACATCTACAATTTGGGTTCCAATGTTTGACTCCACTCAAAAGTTGGATAAGTACAAATCTATGCTGACTCTGATATCAAATAGAATGTAACACACATGTCAACAGGACTATCATTTTCTACAAGCCTTTTCAGGGTATTGCTGTAACAATTTACAACTTAACAGTATACTGTTGATTTTCATTCTTGAGAAATCATTCAGTACTTGCTTATAACTTCGAACTTTGACCAAGAATTGAAATCAAACCTTCAAATCTTTCTCCACAGGCAGAACCATCAAGAATATAACAGACAACACAACCATGTCTTTGTGATTCTGCCATTTCAGTTACAATAAACACAAAGTTGTTCCCATTCAAGCTTTTTGTTTCCAAGACATGTAACAATTCTTTCTCAATGTTTTGACTGAATTCTTTTCTATTATACAGGACCATCAAATTCGGATATTTGTTATTTCCATGTTCATTCACTTTTAAAGTTGTATAGATACAAACTATGCTGACTTTGATATCAGATAGAATGTAACAAATTTATAAACAGAACTATGATTCATGCATCTTCTTAAGTCTTTGCTGTGAACAATTCCCAACTTAACACTGTACTGTTGTTTTTCATTGCCAAGTAGGATTGTGTCTATAGCTTTGAACTTCAACCAATAATTGATGGGAAGTTCTTCTCTTGTGTCTCAATTCTCAAATCTTTGTTTCAGGATTTGCAACAAGTCATTCTTTTCATTTTCACTCTTGTATACATGTATTCAGTATACATTCCTTCAATACATCTTATGAAGTCCATGAACTCAGGACCAACTTACTTCAAGTTGACTTCCCATATCAATGCCATTATTCATAAACTTTGTTCAATCTAATCATTCCTTGAACTACAAGTGGTGTTGCTTTATCAAAGAAAGCATCAACAATCATGAGACTTGTTGAATATTCAATTCAAAGAGATTTTGCATTCCCGAGGGTCAAGTTTCTTGTCTATTCAAGTTATGTACTCAGACTGATTTTCAAGATAACAACCACTGACTTCATTTGTAGTTTTCTAATCAAGGCCTCTTTTGAAACATAAGCTTTTCTGTCTCTCCAGATTAATTTCTTCTCTTGAATAATGAACCATACAAAACAGAGTCTAGCATTCATTTCTTCTTTCTTCTTTTTGTCAAGTTGCATTAAAACAAACTTGTCATTTCCTTGACATGATCTCCGAGATTTGTTTTCTGGAATGCATGTTGTGAAACTAAGGGTCAGATCCCATAGTCTCTTCAACTACTTCTGAACTCGGAAGTTCACCTGATTTCATTCTGGACTTTCCAAGCTTTACATTTCAAGAATCAACTCTATATCTTGCATGCAAATAAATATAGCATAATTTAACTTGTGCTTGGTCAGTGTGCAGAATTAAATCCTTTGGGATATAGAAGCATTCATTTTCTGCATAATGTACTGTAAAAGCAAGGGACAAATCCCATAGCTTCTTCAACTTCATTCACTACTTGTTAAGCTTTGAACATTGAGGTTGTTCTCTTAATCTAGCATTCTCCGAGAAATACTGCATACTTCAACCTCTGCATGGTAAAAGTACAGAGTTCTATTCCTTGGTATATAAAAGCTGTTGAAGCTATAACAATGTTTCATGATGTTACAACACTTGATGCTGTTGAAGCAGTCAAGAATCAAAGAGAAAAGTACAAGTGAAATCAATATCTTTGAGCTTTGTTGCTTTTTCTGAGTGTTTTTGTGCTTTGATGGATTTTCTTTATGTTTTTGTTCTTTTCAAATCAAGGACTTTTCCAATGTTTTTGGTGTCTTTGATTAAAGACTTTTCAATACTGAGAGCAATATGGAATAATTTCAGGCAATTGCAAGACATAACTGCAACAGTAGTATGCAGCTAACCATTCTGTGCAATAGAGGGGCCCCAGCAGGGGGTTTGAAGGGCAAGGAGTTCGAAGCATTTCACTATGCCTAGTGTTTTGTTTTCCAAAGTAGTTTAGTTTGGATATGGTGAACATGTATAAGTTGATTGGAACTTGGGCAATTTATTAACAACAGCCAATGCACAGGTTGAACATGATGTATAGTTCAGCTCAAATGCATTATCTGAAGCATTGCTCAAAGTGCCAATTTACATGGACCAATGTGATGTGCAATATTAAACATGTTCGGAATGAACTTGTTATTGCTTTTGGATGAGGATAATGCAAAGTGCAAGTATTTTCTGCTTTAAAACCCCCTCGCGGTGGGCTCCATATGATATGCTGACTCTGGGCTATGCATAAAATGCTAATGCAAGCTTTAACACTCACACCAACACCAACACAAACCATCATCACACACTAAGTTCAAGGGGGTTTATCATTGAAAAAGCAAGATAACACTGCAACTCTACAAATATCTACATCATGTGGGTATAATGTATAGGTTGAATAGTTTTTCTTCTCGAGATTTTATCAAACTCGGGCATGCTAAATCTTTCTTTGACTTTATCTGAACTGAACAAAACCTCTGATTTGTATTATACACTACAAGTACAATCCACAGAAAGAGTGTGCACTACTCACAGCACTCTGACTGCTATTAACTCTGAAGCATAATGGTAATCTGTGACTTTGAACTTTCTTTCTTTCTGTCTTTCTTAAACTCTAACTTGTTTAAAGTGAAAGTCAACACTGTATCATCTTTGTTTAAAGTGCACTTGTCACTATAGCCAGAAGCTACTAACCAACCAACCAAATCCTCTCAGAAGTGGGGGGGGAAGTGCTTGTTCTCATTTAGAGCCCAGCACCCTCCTTATATATCCTCAAAATAACCCTTAACAACTGATATCAATCATTGTAGCATGTGGAACTTTTGTAGCATGTGCTGATTTTGATGGAAATCATGCTGCATCTCGGAGTAGCATGTGGTCCTGTTGTACCATGTGCTACCTTTGATGGAAATCATGCTGTACCTCGGAAGGCTTTCCGGATGAGGGACATATGCTAAATCATTTCTGATATTCTCGGAATTAACTCCAGAGGTCCGGAATATTGTTATCTTTCAATCTTATCATTCAGCTCTATTGAAATGCTATACAAAGGTGAAGCTCGAAACACTTTAATCCTGCAGATATTGTCACAGTCCAAGTCAAACACAAGTGTGGGTTTTAGTATTAGAGCTTTGTTACTTGGAAATACAACTGTATTATGCTATGAAGACCCACTTAAGTGTCATTCAGATGCAATCACTGTGTAGTTCTGTGTGTTTTCTCTGAATACAATGTACTGTCCAGTCTCAGCATCACTGATAGTACTTTACAGTTGAAAATGCATAATTACTGCATTATAGACTCAAATAAAAATGGGTCATATCAACAGTCATTGCGCTGAAGCATATATTCTACAGAGATGACCCCGATTGCTTCTGTGCAGAATCACAGTTTGTCTCAGCTATACTTCAGTGCTCTGCAATCTCGTGCACGGAAGATGACCAGGAGACGATGGATAGTGACCTCAACGATCTTTGCGAGATCGATAGCAATATTCCCGGTGGTCTGTCTGTTACTTCACTGCCCTTATTCACAACGCTCCCTGCTACTTTGCCGTTCCCTGCCATTGGGCCGTTTTCGTCCTCTCGTCCTCTGGCTTCAAGAGTTAGTGCTAGCGCTGAAGCTGGGTCTTCATCGACATCTCCTGCTTCCGCTTCTACGACAATCAATACATTGCCACCGCTCAGTCTAAATGGTACGAGTACTACCAACACAAAGAACTCAGACACCACTGCCGGACGCGGTTCAACGACCGCACCAGCAGCATCAACAACAGCATCATCTCCATCCTCATCGTCAGCGGCCAGTCCATTATTCACTAGTTGTAATACAGCTGGTGTTACGGGCTTAGTTTTCATGCTCGGGACCATGTTGGAGCTCGTAAGCGTGCTTTGATGATTACAGGTCATTCATATATCCGTCTGTCTACGAATATTTATTGTATCGCGGTTGTAACATGGAAAATATATGCTAATAGTAATATAGCATCCTCTGTCCTCTTTCTAAAAATTATCTGCTTTCTGATGTCTTGTTGGAAAGCAGGATATGCCAAAGATCTCCTTTTCAAAGGGCTTCGTCAGTGGTTTCATCAAGATTTATATCACAGTCATGACTGCTCGACGTGAATCTCAATCAATAAACCTGTGTCGAAGACCAGACGCAGCAACACACCGGTTCAGTCCACTAGCAGCAGCAGAGTCTCGAGTCAGGATACATTTGAGGACGATCTAAAGCGAACAAAGAAGGGTCTGGCAAAGAAAGCAAGGCAACAGCTCGGCGGCTACGCACGTGACGCTATCTCATTCGGATTTCCTCGGTCTCACTTTATCTTGTTTATTGTTGACTCTCAACTTGTTCGTGGCGTTTTCTACGACCGTTCGGTAGCTATGAATCCGTTTGCTTTTGGCTTGATCTGTACTCATCTTTAATTTCAGGCAATTGTTGAGTCTGGGGTAAGTGTCCCGAACTCTTTCCCCCCGTGTTTTTGCGTGAATTGAAAATAAACATACAAGATATTGGATCTCGGAAAGAGTAAAGACCGACTTATTTTTAGCAAGATGATCCAACAATTGCGCGGCTTGTCGCCAGAAGCGCTCGGAATAGTACCTGGCTTCAACACGAGTTTCATGAAAGACCCCACTACTCTCCAGTATCCTGGTCCTGCAAATGACAACGAGCATCCTTCAAGTGGAAAAATTCAAGGATCTTTCTACACATGTCCCTACGGAAAGAAGGAAACACGCACTGTGAAGGTGGGGCGCGTTCTGTTTCGCTCAAATGGTATATTTGGTCAGGGCCCCTTAGTAATGCGAGTAAAGTGCGTCTGCGAGGGTAGTGGTCAGTGCGTTTGGTGCGGGAAGAAGTTGGTTTTGAAGCTAAGCTGGCCTAGCAAAACTCAAGCATCCGAGAAGACGTTCATGTACGAATGCAAGGAGAAGGCGACGGGAGAACATGCCTGGGTACTCAACCACTTGCCTGAAATCTACTATTCATTCGACATCGACTTTTCTGCGGAGTCGCCGCAGGCTCAGTTGAAGGAAATTTTCGGGGAAAAGTACGAGATGCGTGTGGTGCGTGGCATCATTATGGAGGAATTGCATCCACTGTCAAGTTTGGAGACCGAGAGGGAATGCGCACAAGTGTTCTACGATATTGTCCAATGTGAGTTATGTACATTCATCCTCACTATCATCTATCTTACACCCAATTTCCTAGGTCATCATTGGGCTTGGAAATATCCTCAAATCCTCCATCGCGATATCAGTGAGGGGAATATCATGGTCCGCGAAAAGAATGGGCAGAAATACGGTGTATTGAATGATTGGGACCTTGCGAGCTGGTTGAACACGCAAAATGAAGTGTCGACATCCAAATTTCGAACGGGAACCAAACCGTACATGGCGTATGAACAACACTCGTCTCAGTGGCAAGGTCCACATCGGTTCCGCCACGATTTGGAGTCCGTCTTCTACGTTATTCTCTTACTGGTTTCCCTTTATTCCAGTCCCACTGAGAAGGTCCGTTTTCCTTCTACTGGAGATCATCGTTATGAGAGGTGGCATAAGCAGGATGATGGAGTTCTTCTTGGGCAGAAAGGAAATATCGTTTGTGCTGGGAATTGGCAACCCTTTCCGCAGCCCTTCTTCAGCGGCTTCAATTCATGGTTGATCGCACTCCAACGCTCTCTTTTGTATGGTTTCATTGGACTCAATATGCACATAATGATGGAGATAGATGCTCAACAAGCCCGCGAGAATAACGAAGAATCTATGGGGGTACCGTACTTCGATGATGATACCCTAGGTGGCCATTTTTCTTATGAAAAAGTTGTTTCTGTCATGCATCGATTCAAGAAGGAGGAGCTCAACACCCGCGGTCGTGAATGGCAGAAGATACTCCAAGTGCCAGTTTAAGATGTCAAGCCTTCCAGGTCGGACTGCAGTTCCAGGGATCTGTTCTCTACCTTTTAATTGTTCAATGCTACTGAATGTCGGCCGTTATGCTTTTGTACAACTTTATACAGCTCTCTACAATCGATGTATTAATATTTTGCTTATTTGGTGGCAATCTATTGTACTTGTGTAGCTCGATCGCATGCGAGCTTTATGCACAGAGCGTAACAAGCGACAGTCAGTATTCAAAGAGATGAAATGATAATGGAAACAACCATTTTTCTCCAAAGCTTCTAACAAAGCTTCAAGGGTGCTCAGTAGATCCATCTGAGTCTCAAGATCATAGAGCCAGTGTAGCGGGATTCTGGTATTTGTTGACAGTCTCGGGATGACGACGGCCCGGCAGAAGATGCGCTGAAATCAGGTTCGACACCTCCGGGACGCATGTGAGCCTCCTTCGTCTGGCTCGGAGGGGGCCTTTGGCCTCTCCAATTCCAAGTAGGGCCCACATGTGGTGGTCGTTTCGAAATTTTAACGCTTTATCGGTGGCGCACCTTTCCCGGCCGCATCCGCACACATCCACGGGTGATCCGACTCCGTAGGAGTTTGCGCGCCAGCAATTTTCTTTACATTCCTCTAACATAATAAATATTGAAACTCGAAAACAATGAAGACCGATTTACTTTCGCAAGAAACAACTGTGCGGCTTGTCCCCAGAGAAGCGCCCGGAATAGTACTTGGTTTCAACACAAGTTTCATGAAAGACCTCACCACTCTCCAGTATCCTGATCCTGCAAACGACAAGGGGCATCCGTCAAGTGGAAGAATTGAATTCAAGGAAGGATTTTCTTTCACATTTCCCTGCGGAAAGAAGGGAACACGAACTGTGAAGATGGGGCGTGTTCTGTTTCGCTCAAACGGTGTAATTGGTCGGGGGTCCATGGTAATGCGAGTAACATGCGTCTGCGAGAGTAGCAGTCAGTGCGATTGGTCCGGGAAGAAACTGGTTTTGAAACTCAGCTTTCCTAGCAAAACTCGAGCATCCGAGAAGGCGTTCATGGATAAATGTAAGGAGAAGGCGACGGGAGAACACGCCTGGGTACTCAACCACTTGCCTGAAATCTACTATTCATTCGACATCGACTGTTCTGCGGAGTCGCCGCAGGCTCAGTTAAAGGAAATTTTTGGGGAAGAGTACGAGATGCATGTGGTGCGTGGCATTATTATGGAGGAATTGCATCCACTGTCAACTTTTAAGACTGAGAAGGAATGTGCGCAAGTGTTCTATGATATTGTTCAATGTGAGTTACATTCATCCTCACTATCATCTATCTTACACCCCATTCCCTAGGTCATCATTGGGCTTGGAAATATCCTCAAATCCTTCATCGCGATATCAGTGAGGGTAATATCATGGTCCGCGAAAAGAATGGGCAGAAATACGGTGTATTAAATGATTGGGACTTCGCAAGCTGGTTGAGCACGCAAAATGAAGTGTCGACATCCAAATTTCGAACGGGAACCAAACCGTACATGGCGTATGAACAACACTCGTCTCAGTGGCAAGGTCCACATCGGTTCCGCCACGATTTGGAGTCCGTCTTCTACGTTATTCTCTTACTGGTTTCCCTTTATTCCAGTCCCACTGAGAAGGTCCGTTTTCCTTCTACTGGAGATCATCGTTATGAGAAGTGGCATAAGCAGGATGATGGAGTTCTTCTTGGGCAGAAAGGAAATATTGTTCGTGCTGGGGATTGGCAACCCTTCCCGCAGCCCTTCTTCAGCGGCTTCACTTCGTGGTTGATCCCCCTTCAACGATCTATGCGTCGTGGTATCTTCAACCTGGAGAATCACAAGGAGGCAGTGTTAGCAGCAAAACAACCGCTCAAGCCAGGGAGGCGACCACGCAAGGTGCCATTTTTTGACGAGGATACCCTAGGCGGATATTTCTCATACAAGAAAGTTGTCATGATCATGCACCGGTTCAACCAAGCAGAACTCAAGACTTGGGGTCAGGAGTGGCAAGTAACACTAGAGGAAGCATCTTCTGAAGATTGGGAGTTAGAAGAGTTGGAGGAGAACTAATAACAATGTTGATTGTCTTGAAGGCACAGAACCATCAAATATCTTGCCGGTGACAGTGGGACAGATTCGATGATTATACTCACAGTAGTATGCTTTATTGTACCTAGGCCTAGAGATAAACTTTCTTCAAGGCATGCAGGCTCAGGCAAATATATCTTCCTTGTTTCTCGCACGAATAGCTTCAAACTTCGCAGTGAAGTTGTTCTTTGCATCAAGGTAGACAGGAAATGTTCCAACGAAAGCGGTTCGCCTCTCCAACAGCAGCTGCGGAGTGACCACAGGTCCAGTTGAAGAAGTTTTCGGCGACGAATACGACGTGCGTATCGTGCGTGGCATCCGATGGTTCTGAAGGAATTAGAGCCACTGTCAGCTTTAGAGATCGAGAGGCAACGTACCCAAAGCCCTTTGATCGCCATCCTTTTGCTTGAGCAGCAAACGGAAGGGCAATTTATGCACCGATGTGAAAAATCACCATTTAGTTTGCATAAATCTGTATAAATACAGGTGGAATAAACATGGCTACTACTCATGAATCATGATACATTAGATGTTCGACATTACATAGTTATTAGATGTTCGACATAGTTTTTTGTGAAGATAACTGATGACGACGCATTTTACATAGTAAGTATTTGAGTGAAGTGGCAATTTGTAAGTCGAGGTAAGGAGATGCGACAAATTAGAGTCTTCGAACGGACACGTGATGCGGTACTTCCTGCTCTTGCTGGTACCGCATCGACACGCGTACGTTGAAGCCTCGCAGTACTAGTCCCTAGTAGCTCCATTAGTTCTTCTTTATCTCACCACTTCATTTGCCCTTTTGACAAAACCTCACGAAATGGCCGAACGACTAGAAGTTGACCCCACCAAGATACCTGCACCCGACTTCGCGAGTGAAGCTTACACATTCATGCGAACTGCTCTAATTGCAGATGCAAACACCCCCGAAATCACCACAGAAGAGCTCGCCGCCCAACGCCTCAAAGCTCAGTGGGAGGCTCACATCGAGGGACTAAAAGTCCAGTACGAGGCACAACTGCAGGAAGCAGAGGCTTTGAGAAATCAGAGAATACAAGAGGCAGCAGATGCTGAGAAACTCGCCGCAGCGGAACAGCAGGAGAAAGAGAAAGAGTTAGCGAAAGAGTCAGAGAAGAAACGCCAACCTATATACAGTTTCCAGAAAGGAGTCGGGGTGGACTCTATCCCACTGCAGCTTCACCCATACGCCAAGAAGATGATGACTGCCAGGAAGTACGTGCCTTTATGGTACTTCCTCCCTGATGCTGCGACAGAAGCAAAGGAACGCAGCAAGGATTCCCTAGACACCAATCACCTTCAGTTTGCAGTGGAAGACGGCGACACCCTCTCAGGTTCAACCGTCTCCCTAGTGGGATCTCACACCGTTCGCGCCTCACCAAATGCCATCCCCGATTCCCGGCTATCCTGGTCCCAGGTCATGCGAGCGAAAAGTGCTTTCCTCAGCGTGTTAGGATTAGGAACATGGCCAGACAACTACATATCCATGTTCGCGGCCTTCCACATCAACATGGACATGCACCGCGAGCTACAGGAGCAAGATGGAGACCGGGTAATGGCTCATTACCACGCAGAGATGCGTCAGGCGTGGTACGACGCAATGGAAAGGAAGGAGCCTTTCGACCTTTCGGTAATTTCGGACAGAGTGATTGGAGAAAGCCGCCGAGAAATTGTCAAGCAAAGGCAGGAGAAAAGCCTGAAAGGTAAGCAGCTTGTATCGAAGCAAACCGAAGCAACCTCTGACGATCAACCCTCCCCTCCCCACAATCACACACACCCGGCGTCCACCTCACAACACAAACTCAAATCCTTCGTTTCCAACACGGGCCACTGCTAACACCACAATCGCTACCAACACCATTGCTTCTCCCACTGCCACTCTTGCCACTGATGCCCACGCTACCCTTGCTGCCGGTGACTACACTACCCCCGCCGCCAATGCTAATTGCTATGATGACTACCAATAATAATGATGCTAATATCTATGTAAATGACTGCTGCCAATGCTACATAATTCAACAATAACTACTGACGCCAACATTAACGGGAATCCCTGCACCATTATTTACTCTGAACTGATAGACATCGAAGCCGCTACAGCACAAATGGAGGCCAGGGTTGAAGCCAAGCTCCAAAAACTCTCCCAGGCATCCTCATCCTCCCCGTTTCCCAGCCGCCAAGCCCCAAATAAATTCCGCCAAGCCCCTTACCCTTCCACCTCCCCCCGCAAAGCCAACAAGCATCCGGACAATCCTAACTTTCAACGTTCCTTTCGGGACTCAAATCAACCCCCACTCACACGCTGTCACCGATGCCTCGGACGTGACAGGCATGATGTTCGACATTGCTCACGGACCTCCCTCTGGAACGGGAAACGCGGGGTTACCTGCAACTGGAACAAGCAAGGATTCCTCGAGATTGCGAACGGCACCAATGCTGGACAGGAACTTTGCGCCGACTGGCAACGTGCTAACGGTTGCACAAGTCGAGCCCACCCAGAGAAGCACCGTTGTTCAGGATGTGCAGGCAGCAACCACGGAGCTAGCGACTGCCCTGAAGGCGAGTAAAACTCGAGTCAACACCCCTCTACAGGTTGAAGCCTGGAATCTTGCTATTGCTGAACTCAACTTAACCACTAAATATCCTACACTCGTCGAGTCTATACGACACGGCTTTAATGTTGGAATTCCGAGAATATACCATACCTTCTCTCCTCCTAATAGACTCAATGAACCTGAGTCACAAGCTGCCTTCGAGATTGTGATGAGAAACGAAATTAGCACAGGCCGATGGCTTGGCCCTTACACTCAAGAAACCATTGAGAGGGTCCTAGGGCCATTCCAGACATCTCCCATCTCAATGATCCCGAAATCCGACAAACCAGGAAAATACAGATTACTCGAGAATTTATCATATCCATATCATCCTGATATCATCCAACATACGTTCCTTCACTACGCACAACAATCTCCTCCATCAACTCACACATTGACTCTACCCTGTACCCGTGTCTCTGGAGCACCTTTGCAACCACATGTCGATTGATCTGGACTTTACCACTAGGCTCACAAGGTGCAGTAAGGGACATCTCGGAAGCGTACCGCCTAATCCCACTACACTCCTCTCAATGGCCCGGAGTAGTCATCCGGACATCAGAAAAAGAATATTGCATAGATACCAGAGACATGTTTGGTCTCACCTCGGCAGGAGGTACATTTGGTCACCTAGCTGATGGAGGGGTCGACATCTGTCGGGGATACGGCCTAGGCCCGCTCACCAAATGGGTCGATGATCACTTGTGGCTGAGAATCCTGAAACAACATCTTAGCAAATACAACTCACTACGGGAGCAACTCCGTGAACGAGTAGCCCCCACAGGAGGTGCCATACACAGCAAAGGTCGACTCCTATACCTAGGTCATACCCTCCCAAATGGACAACAGGAGGAATTCGACGATGACTTCATATTCCCTATCAGGGACTTATCTCATCTCTCCTCTCGCTCCATGGAGGACTCCAAATTTTGCTATGCTTTCAGTGACATTGACCGCATCACCATCCCCCTTGGATATACATGGGCGGCGGACAAAGACATTCCTTTCTGCAATGAACCAACATACTTTGGCTTTCAATGGAACCTTAGCGAGAAAATTGTATCGGTCCCGGCCAAGAAACGGAGAAAATACTTAGAGGAAATTGCAGATTGGGAGCAAAGAGGGTCACACAACGCTGAACAGGTCGCCAAGATGTATGGGAAACTCCTTCACATTAGTCTAGTTCTGCCAATAGGGCGTACATACTTAATCGAGCTCGAAAAGTTCGCAGCAGAGCTCAGCCACGAAGCACCGCTGACAAAGCACCGGGCACCCCGCCGATGGCCGGCTGACCTTCTTTGGTGGAAGTCCACCTTATCCTCACCCATTTCCGCACCCATTCCAGGACCTGCAGATCTCATCGACGTCCATGGCTACTCTGACGCCAGCAGCGGCTATGGTATCGGCCTGTATATCAAAGGTTTCTGGCGAGCATACCGCCTCCTCCCAGGATGGAAAGGAAAAGACGGAGAACGGGACATTGGATGGGCCGAGGCAGTTGGGTTCTATCTCCTCGTCCTCATTATTGCTAGAGAGGCAACTGCAGGAGGACAGTATAAGCTCTGGGGTGACAACGAAGGTGTGGTCGAAGGCTGGTGGAATGGGCGGAGCAGGAACCGACATACGAACAACATATTCAGACTTGTTCACGAAATCACTTCGAAACTCAATTTCAAGGTCCACACCCGCTATATCCCCAGCGCTCATAATCCAGCCGACCCATTCTCTCGAGGCATATACGGTGAACCAAGATTCCTCCTACCCAAGATCCCCATCCCATTCCACCTCACACACCTCATCATCGACTATGATGCCCCATACACCACAGCCGAGCGCCGTGAATACGGCACTTCTACAAACCTTGCTTACAGGACTAAACCACACCGACCTCACCCGCGAACATCGTTTGGACAGTGGCAATCTGAAGAGGAAGGAAAATTACTCTATGCCTTTGAGAACTCCTGGTAGTCGCCCTGCCACCTCTGAATACCCCTCTGCTACTTTCCCTCCTGTGAATACTGTAAATACAAATAATGTCCGCCCATATCCTGCTAATTTGACTCCACTATTGTCCACACTACGCCCTCATGTGGCCGCTCGTAACTGTCTAGTCTCCTGGAAGCCAGCCTGTAAGCGAACCTTCGAAGATGCAGCGGGGCGTCCACTCATACTCTCAGACGAATTCGTCGACCGAGTCCAACAAGTACTCATTAATGGATATGCAGACAGTACTCTCGAAACTTACGCATCAGGCCTACTCGCCTTCCACGTCTTCTGTGACTCGCGTGACATACCTGAGGACCAACGTGCACCATGCAGCAGCGACCTGCTCAACGTTTGGATAGCAACCATGGCCGGAAATTTTGCAGGTGCATCAGTTAAAAACTATGTGCATGGACTACGGGCCTGGCACATCATCCACGGAGTTGAATGGAACATCGACAAAGCATCCTTTGACACCATTATTCATGGCGCCGAACGCCTTCAGCCAGACCGAGCTCGCAGGAAAAAGCGGGTACCTTTCACCCCAGACCATATTTCCAAACTACTGCAAGATCTCGATCCAACGAACCCTTTTGATGTGGCGTGTGGTGCCTGCCTTACAACATCCTTCTACTGCGCAGCAAGAGTAGGCGAACTCACGGTCCCCAATCTAAACGACTTCTCCCCAAATGTCCACATTACACCAGCAAACGTTAGCACGGCCACCGACCGCAACGGTTTCCAAACCACCATCATTCACATCCCACGCACCAAGAGCAATCAGCTCGAAGGCGAGGACCTTTACTTCTCCAAACAGCTTGGCTCCACAGACCCAGACTCGTGGTTCCGAAATCACCGTGAAGTCAACACACCAGGACCCTCGGACCACCTCTTCTCCTACCGATACAGAGCCACCCGAAGGCCCCTTACAAAATCCGCTTTCCTGCAACGCGTCAACAAGGCTGCAAAAAACCAAGGCCTCCCCGTCCTTCAAGGCCACGGTATCCGCATTGGAGCCACACTTGAGTACCTACTCAGAGGCGTCCCGTTCGACGCTGTGCGCGTGATAGGCCGATGGAAAAGCGATGCTTTCATATTGTATCTCCGAAAGCATGCGGAAATCATGGCACCTTACATGCAACCCGAACTCCACCAAGACTTCGTTCGCTACACAATGCCCCCAGTTCGATGTGAGTGCTCTCCTCCCACTAGGGTATCCACGGTCGCTAGATGCGTCGTGCACTCCTACTTGCTGGGAATCGCAGCTGACCGTGCATACCTTCTTAGAACCTCATTGTCTGCTGGGACCCGAAGGCCTTCGGCCTTCTCCCAACGTGCAGAACTCGCAGTCAAAGATACATAAGTCTTCAATTGTATTGTACATACTCAATACATATTGCTAGTGATGATACCATATGCATCACCAGAGTTCAAAGACGAACACTTACTGTATGTATACACCATAAGTCGCAGGTGAAGCTTTGAAGGCCCACGTGTTCAGACGTCGTTTTGCTTCTTTCGCATACTGTATCGCAAGACAATTTCAAGGTGGACTCCGATGATTTTGAGGTGTGTTTTTGCTATATTCTCTTTTGTTGCTTTCATTGAGAATTCTTCAGTCATCGACCTTGATCTACAAGCCCTTACGTGTTAAGCCTAGTAAATCTCAGTTGATAATATAGCAACTATATATCTACCTGTTAAGCCTAGTAAATCTACGGTAACGTTAGCATGTAGTTAATGTATACAGATATACTTCGTGCTCACCTCAGTTGATAATATAGCAACTGAGGGAGCACTCGAGACTCCAAACTGTGTGACCTAGGTAAAACGTAAACTGTACAGTATAAAGTAATAACGCCGTCTCGAGTGGGATTGCGGTTATGTCAGTACGTACAGAGTATGGGATTGCGGCTATATCAATACGTACGGAGTATGCTCCAACACCCCCCCTACTCCGTACGATCTATCCCAAGCATGGAAACTAGTTTTGAATGTATCGTACCGTTCAGCGCCTTGGTGAAGATGTCCGCTATATTCTCCCCCAACTGAATCCGCTGTATAGTCACTTCCCCGCTAGCTACCTTCTCCCGTACGTAGTGGTGTCGCATTTTGATGTGCTTCACCAGTGCGTGCTGCTTCGAGTTCTCCGTGAGGCATACAGAGCCGAAATTATCACCTAGCATGTTGATAGGGCCCTCCTGCTGTAGGTCCACTTCGGAGAGGAAGGATGCTATCCAGACAGCTTGTTGCGTGGCCCGGGAGAGCCCAATGTACTTGGATTCCGTGGTCGATAGTGCGACTGTGGCTTGCCTCTTCGAGCTCCATGATACAGGGCCGCCGGCCATGAAAAATACATAACCTGAGGTTGATCGGTAGGTGTCCTGGCATCCTGCATGGTCAGAATCGACGTATGCGTAGGGTTTCAGTCCGGTTCCTGGCCCAGCTGAGTTGGTGGGTGCCGCATATGTGATGGAGTAGTCGAGGGTGTTGAGGATGTACCCTGCAACCCATTCGACGCATGCCCAGTGGTCACGACCAGGGTTGAGCTGGTATCTCGCCAGTAGACTCCCTGCGAATGCTAAGTCTGGTCTTGTGCAAACCTGTCCCCACAGTATTGACCCCACAATGGGTCGGTATTGTTTGTCTGCCATAAACCTACGATCTTCCTCAGGTAGTGGGGTAGGGGCGTCCTTGAGTTTGACATTCGGTGGGAGTGGTGTATTCCGGCGTCGAACCTGGTCCAGTCCGAAGTGTGCAAGCATGCGTTGGAAGAACGTCTTTTGTGAGATCGTGATGGCTTTGGTTAATGGGTCCTGTCGGATAGTCATCCCCAGAAGCACTTCCGTCGTTACCTCGTTAGCCTCCCAGCGCTGTCCCAAGTCGGCTACTGCCCGGTCTCTTCCTGCTTTAGTTGAAGACCCCCCACAGACGTCATCCCCATATGTACTTGTAATCGTGTACTCGTCACCCACTCGTTTGTACCGAATGCATGGATCTGCCCTCGAAGTGGTGTACCCGTCGCCCTTGTATCCGGCAGCCAGTGTCGCCTGCCAGTCGTGGCTGCCCTGCATCGTTCCGTATATGGATTTTTTCAGTTTACATACCAGATGCTCTGTCCCTGGTCTAATGAACCCTTCAGGTTGTTTCATGTAGACATTGTGAGTGATAGGGCTGTTCAGGAATGCTGCCGTAAAATCTACTTGGAATATGGACAGTTTGAGGGCCGCGGTAATTGCCAGGACTAGTCTAACTGACTCCATTCGGGCTACGCCGCCGTATGTTTTGTCATAATCCTGGCCCTGGATTTGAGTATAACCTTGTGCTACGTATCGGGCTTTCCGCTTCAATAAGTTCCCCGTTGCGTCAAATTTAATTGCGTATGTCCACCGGCCTCCAGTGAGATTTGCGTCTGGTGGTAGTGGTACCAAATCCCAGCATTGTTTGTCTTCAAGGGTTCGAAATTCCCGTTCCATTGGTGCTGTCCAGAGATCCGGCCTTTTCATCGCTTGTTTGTATGATTGTGGTACCCAGAGTTCACCCGATGTTGCTGCGAAGGCATACGGGTGTTGTGCTATCAGTGCCAGTGGTGTGTCTACTGTCCATCCCTCTCCTTTCTCCTGTGCGGCGCGCTCTCGTTCTAGGTATTCTTCGCTCTCAAGGAGTCTGCGGGAGGGTACATGTCCTCTCTCACTACGTCGTATTGGTTCAGGTACGGGCATTTGAGGTATGTTACCAGCTCCCCGGTGTTGATCCTCTGGTATTAGAGGTGGTGCCTCGTGCTGCTCCAGGATTTGATTTCCGCCGTCATTAGCTTTGGCTGTATTTGCAGGGTCCATAGGTCGTGTACTCGGAGTGTCCGTTCCCACCGCTGGTGTTGTAACAGTTTCCCCCAGCTGTTCGTCCTCACTTGGCGCCTCTGCTGCTCTCGTCCTATGCGGGGTCCCTTCCTCAAATGTCACGTCATGCGATTCCTCTATTCTCTTTGTCTCTGGTATCCATATACGGTATCCCCGCCGTCCCATGTATCCTAGGAGTTTACCCTTCACTGCCTGTCTGCCAAGCTTCCCATCGGTCCTTCTCCGTGGCAGAGTAGCCCAGCAATCGCACCCAAATGGTCGTAGGTGCGATATGTCGTGTCTCTTCTGGGTCCATTTCTCCACTGGTACTGTGTCTGGAAATCGAGACGATGGGACGAAATTGTTGATGTAGACAAAAGTCGACGAGGCTTCTCCCCAGAATGAGTATGGGAGGCTCGCTTCCTCTAGTAAGGTACGTGTCCCCTCCATGACCATTCTGAACGATCGCTCAGCTACGCCATTTGCTGCAGAGGAATCATGTGGTACCTTCTTGATGAGGATTCCGTTCTCCTTGCAGTATGCATCGACAAGCCCATTGTTCAGCTCTCCCCCTCCGTCAATTCGGATTATCTTTAGCTTCTTGCCCGTTTGTTTCTCCGCCATGATGCGGTATTCGTGTAGGGCATTAAGTCCTGTCTCTTTCCTCTTGTTTGTCAAGTAGTAGGGCACTCTGAACGATGATCTTCTGTCGGTGCATAGCATGAGGTATGTTGCTCCTCCGCGACTCTGTGTTCTTGCTGGGCCAAATAGATCCATGTGTACCCTCTCTAGTACTTCCGTTTCGTGCGTCAAGACTTCATCAAATGGGTGTTTCACTGCCTTTCCATACAGGCAATCTTCGCACATACCTCGAATGTCTCGGTTTGAGATGTTCAGCCTGTCTACAAGGTTACAGTTCGACATCCGCAGTATCCGCCGTATTGCTACATGTCCAAGTCTCCTGTGCCAGGTGAGAATATCTACTGGCCTATCTCTTGACCGGGAGTAGTTGATTGTAGTTTCCCCCGACTCTAGGACCTCAACTTCGTACATCTTGTTATGGCCAAAACCCTGCATTATTGGATCGCCGTTTGGAGCCCTCACCGTGATCGTACCTAGTCCCCACTCTCCACGCATGCCCCGGTTGTCCAGAGTCGATATGGATATCAGGTTATGTGCAAATGACGGTGTGTGTTTTACCCCTCTGAGGCGTATGGTTCTCTCACCCTCCTGTATTTGGGTCACGAATTGGACCGTGCCTGTACCTTGTATCTGGAATCTCCCTGCCTCGCCAGATATCGCGCTACTCCCGCCCTGCCCTTGCACCTCGGTGTATTCAATGAAGTCGGAACGTCGTACCCAACAGTGTTCCGATGCGCCAGAGTCAATAAATGTTCGTATTGTTGGCACAGGCATTGAGTACAGGGAGGTGCTACCATGGCAGATTGTGCACTCTGCTTCTGGTACTGCCTCGTAACTAGTTATGTCGCTATCTATGTCCTTATTCTTTTCCCTTGCCTCCCACTGACCGTCATCCCTTAGAATGGGATAATTTTGTCTGGTTTCGGGGTCAGTGGTGGGTTCGGGTGTTCGGGCAGAACTGGACGTACTTCGTTCACCGTTTGACTGGGCGGACATAACGTAGGTAGCCATGGATGTCGAGACGCTAGGTTCGTCTGTTTGTGCTACGCTGGCACTCCCCTCGGTCCTTGGTTTTTGGGCCTGTCCCTGTTTAGGTCCTTGCTCTTCCATGCCTCTGCCTTTGGCCCAGCACTTCCTGGCGATATGTCCGGGTTTGCTACAGTTGTGGCATGTTATGCTGGCTCTGTTTCCCGTGCGTGGCTGGTTGGTTGGCATCGAGATCGGCGCGGTGGTGTGTGCTGCTGTCATAAAGTACGCAGCCCCTATCATTTTCCTTTTCTCACCGTCTTGACGCCTTTACTTGTACGATACATCATCCCATCACTGTCAAACCCCCATCGATTACTGATCCACCTGACCCATCTTCTCCTTCTATTGGCTTCTGCCACCTTCCTTGTTCCTAAACTGTACAGTATTACATCGTTGTTTCTCGCAGACCGGATTATGTATATATAGCCAACCCTCCACAGCCTGGTCCCTTATCTTGACCTCTCTGTCATTATCTGGGACCAGGTATGTGCTTACTTATTATTACCTATGACTACGATACTCAATATATCTCTGTCATTATCTGGGACCAGCCTGCCGCCGTTCTGCTTAGTCGCTCCGCCTTGTTGCCTTGTTCAGTTGCTCCGCCACGCCGTTCTGCTTAGTCGCTCCGCTTTCCCGCTCCGTTAGTCACTCCGCCTCTGCCGCTTCGTGACATTAGGTCAAGATCCATTACTGCACTGACAGCCTACCGATAAGGTTGTCCTTGCAGGGTCTATAGACACCACGTCTTCCCCAGTTCCGCCCGACTCTGAAACACCTGTTGCCAGTATAGACTGCTCCGCACTCCCGCACGCACTTGACCCCAGAGACCAAGCTCACGCCCATAACAACG